GAACCTGCTTCAAGTGCGGACAGCCCGGCCACATGGCCAATATGTGCCCTGATAATGGGCGAGGGGCCCAAGGACCCGCGCCGGTGGTGTGACCCTATGAGAGGGAAACCACTTGGGGCGTCGAGAGCACGTTGCATGGGCAACATGGTGTGCTTAGGCCAATGGCCAGACCCTGCGGGGCGAGTAGAATGGCCGCCGGCCGACCCCTAGGGAAGGGAGTAGGACTAGGAGTCCTAGGACTTAGCCATGGGTGGCAATCATGAGTTGTATGCGTGTTCAAGCATGAAATATGGGCCGGAGTGGCAAGTAATGTGGACAATCGTTGATGTGTGGCTTAATGAATGAGATTTAAAATATTGGAACCTGGATTATTGAAACAAGCAGCCCTCGGAGAGTGAGGCCTAAGCGGTTGAGGTACCAAAAAAAAAAAAAAAAAAAAGGAGAAGAGGAGAAAGAAAGAAAGACAAGGAGAAGTGTGAGATGATGAAGATGTTGACTCTTAAGGAGGCCACACTATTTGGCCAGCACCGGCCCAATTTAACGGGACACGAGAGGGCCGCTTGCGCGACAAGCGCACAAGGAGGGCATACGAAGCATATTACTACGCGCAATTGACACGATGGGCAAAGAGCCCACGAGACAAAGCACGTTATCATAGAAAATGTGCAAAGCACAATCCGGCAGCCCACCTCGAGCTCGTCCAACATCGAGAGCCCTCGGGTGCACACACGGCAAGCCTAAGGTCGTGTATATTAGGTGTTGACAGACAAAAAAAAAAAAAAAAACAACAACAACAAGGGAGAGAGAGGCGAACATATCAATATGAAAGAGAAGGGGAAGGGTGGGTCAATGGCCCACCTCGTGGAGGTTCGGCCATACACCGCCCCGTTGTTCGCTAGTACATGCACTCGTATTAATAGCAACTAGAGCTGATGCAAAAAAAAAAAAAAAAAAAAAAAAAAAAAAAAAAAAAACGCCTTCACAGCCTGTGTCCTTTTTGCGACCCCTTGCACAGATCCACCGGATGGCGGTATGGGCGAGCGACACATCCCCTACGAATACGCAATCACAGATAAGCTCGTCACAAGGATGTGCGGTCGGCTACGCTTGGCATTCCCATGGTGGAGCTCATGGTGCGACAGCAGCTTCATACTCTCAGTGATATTTCACGGTTACTGGATGCCGTGGGAACTCATCCACCCGGCGCCGTTCCGGTGCGACAATCACGCGGGCGCACAGATCCACGCCCAGTTTACCAAACAGGCTATTAGCGAGCTCCTAGAAAGCGGCGCAGCTGCTCTTGCACCCGCGGCTCAGACCGTATGCATTAGCCCACTGAACGTGGTGGTCCAAAGAGAGAAATGCCGACTGATCCTCGACCTCCGCCAAGTGAACCTGCACCTGCGCATTCCAAAATTCAAGTACGAGGGGCTCAATCGGGTTGCGGAGATCGCTCGCATGGGCGACTGGATGTTCTCTATCGACCTAAAGTCTGGGTATCACCACGTGGATATTCACCCATCGTGCTGAAAGTACCTGGGATTTCGATTTGACGGAAAGACATACATATTCCGCTCGCTCCCGTTCGGCCTCGCGACGGCCCCATTCGTTTTTACTCAACTTATCAAACAACTCGCTCGGCGCTGGCGAGCCATGGGCATACGGGTCATTCCTTATGTCGACGACATCCTCTTCCTTTGTGACACGGAAGTGAAAGCACGAGCCACATGTCAATCAATCATACATGACCTCAACAAGGCAGGGCTTGTGATCAACTCGAAAAAGTCGCATCTACAACCGACCCAGCAGTTGCGTTTCCTAGGCGTCGAGTTAGACACTGACCGTGGTCAGTTCTCTATCGGCGCTGAATGTCGAGCCTCACTACTCTCCACCCTCCAAGTCCTTCAGAGGGAAGGAAAGGCAGAACGCAAGGTCCCAGTCCGTCACATCGCCAGAGTCACCGACATGCTGGCTTCCATGTCACTGGCTCTTGGGACGACGACACGAGCGTTCAGTCAAGGCCTACTGCAGGCAATCCAGCAAGCACCATCATGGAATAGTAAAGTGCTGCTGGACCCTATGGCGATTGAAGAACTGGACTTTTGGCGCCACGAGTTCGACAAATTCAACGGCGCCCCATTTCACGTCCCCAACAGCTACGATGTTGTCATCCATGTGGATGCCAGCGCACACAGTTGGGGAGCGACGTTGGACAAGTTCCCAGGACGGCGTATCGAGGCAAGTGCGGCAATGCCGAAGCATCTGCTAGAGTCATCCAGCACGCAGCGAGAGATAGATGGCGTTCTATGGGCACTCCAAACGTTTTCAGAAAGCATCCGCGACCAGCACGTCCTCGCAAGGACCGATAACCAAGGCGTCTTCTTCATCCTTCGAAAAGGTGGTTCAAGGCACACCAACCTTACAGCGACGTGCAAGTCGATCATCCAGACATGCATGACTTTTCGGATTCGGCTCATGGTCGAATGGATCCCGCGCGAACTAAACACACGGGCGGATGAACTCTCCAAGGCGCTCGATCGTGACGACTACTCACTAAAGACACCTTGGTTCCGGCTCATCGAGCGCCGCCTGGGCCCGCACTCAATCGATCTATTCGCAAATGGGAGCAATACCAAGCTACCTCGGTTCTGCTCCAAAACACCGCACCCAGACGCAGTGGCAGTTGACGCATTTTCGATCCCATGGACCTCCGAGCAGGGATACGCATTCCCTCCACCGCACTTAATCCCAGCAGTGCTCCACCATGCGAAACGAACTCGCGCCGCCATCACTCTCGTCACGCCTTGCTGGCCTGGCGCAAGTTGGTGGCCCCTACTGCAACCCTCCCCTCCTCAATGGGCCACCTACATTCACACCCACCTCCACCTCACGCACGGTAGCCAGTGCCTGACTACAAGCAATCACTCCAGCGCCTTCTCCGGCGACGGTTTGCCGTGTAGTTCGATGGTCGCACTACGCGTGTCATTCACCTGCTAACTGCTTTTGCACACGATGCAGGATTGCTGGAAAAACTCAAGCATCGCCTACTAGAGATAACCACGCAAACGCGGGCCGACTCCACAATCCGTACATACGAGCCCTACTGGGTCAAGTTCCGCTCCTTTTGCCAACACCACAAGCTCAAGTTCCTCCCATGCACTGACATGACGCTCGCGCTGTACCTGGTCCACGCCATTCAGCACAGGGCTACGGTGTCTGCAATTCAGTTGACATGCTCTGCAGTTAGCTTCGCGCATCGGTCGATCGGGGCATCATGCCCGTCTATCGGCGCATTCACCTCTCAAGTCAGAGATTTTGCGAAGAAGCGATGTCCGCACCCTACCCGGGCCAAAGAACCCGTGTCGCTTCATCAAGTCCATGCGATGGCATCGGAATTTCTACAGTCAGACAACCCTCGCGAATTTTAGAAGGGGCTAATACTGATCATAATGTACGCCGGGTTTCTGCGCTACTCCGACCTTGCAGTCATCAACTGGCATGAGATTCATTTCGAGCCAGAAGTCATGTGGTTACTAATACCCCGTTCCAAGACGGATCAGGCAGGAGAAGGCACATGGGTCCCAGTAGCGGCAAGCCCTGGCCCCTTTTGCCCAATTCGGTGCACCAAACAATTTATACACCTAGCACGATACGATCAATCGCAACAAGGTCCACTCATCCGCGTCTTTGGAACAGAGGGTGGGAAAAACGGTGCCGCCAAGTCGCCATCCTACACCACAATCCGCAACTGGTGCAAAGAGGCCTTCAACAAAATCGGTCTTAGTTTCGAGCATCTCGGCACCCACTCTTTTCGGAAAGGCGCAACAACTGTCGCAGCCAACGCCGGAATATCAGACCGCATCCTGAAGCGACTAGGAAGGTGGAGCAGCGACACCGCCAAGGAGACGTCCATCACGCCTGCCGCAGACCAACTTGTGGGGGCTTCGAAGCAAGTTCAAGACCCAGCACGCGCCCTCTCCCCCGCTCAACACGCCACGACAGTGGCGCGCCAACGGCGTCCAACAAGACACATGTCTCAGAAGACCCATTTGAAATGAGACGATGCCATTGCTACAACAAGAAAGCAAGCTTTTTAAAATATGAATATTTTTAAAAGTTGTAACGCTTTTCAAAATTGTGTATTTTGAAAGCGAAGCGGCTTGTAATGTAGCAATGGTCATCGGCGAACCGCGCTAAACGCCCATTTTGGAGTACAAAACGTGGGTTGGAGGTCATTTCCCTCCACCCACGTCTTTCATTTTCAAACGGCTTAGCCTAGTTTCCCGCCCACCCACCCCGTAGAACTGGGAACAATTATTGATAGTTGATTGCTTTAGAATAATTGCATGCTAGCTTGGACATGTCTGTACGATGCCATTTGAAATGAGACGATGCCATTGCTACAACAAGAAAGCAAGCTTTTTAAAATCAATCATTGTCATACCTTGGGTCCTGCAGCCAACCTTCACGCAAGCACTAGGAAAATACACCTGCTCTCCGATATTTCCACACCCTGAACTTTGGTTCTTCCCAGACACCCTACATGGTTGAAGGTTTGATGAGACGGACGCCCTGCCACGCAGCGCATGCGGCTCTGATTGGGCCGCACGGCAACATCTTCGTCACGGCTGTCACATTCGATGTTTCAAGACAACATTGTGCGGTGGGAAACCGAACCGAAGCAGTTTCTACCTGAAAACCATGCACGACCCCACTTGGTGCATGGTCGGTTGAATTCGCCTTATTGGGAGCTTCACAATGGTGTGTTCAAAATTGATTTTCATTTTATCCTTTATACAAACGCATGCGCTTATAAATCTGACTCAATTGTAAGCGCGCCCCCCAAAAAAACAATGTTTTACTAAAAGCGCAGGTGCGCTTATATCCGGGGTATTACAGGTACATCACTTCCCTTCTACCATTCATCTGATCTCTGTATGGCATGCTCTAGAGTCTGACACACCTCATCTAGATTGAGACATCCACCCTTCAAGCAAGCACTAGGACAAATCTATTCCCAGAGTCCCTCTTTTGCCTTCCACAACTCGTGCGATTTCTTTGGATGCATCCTCCAGCGTCCGAGCCCTGTGCGTCACCTCATAGGCTTCGATATAGTCACCTTGCTGCCACCCGTTAAAGCCCTCCACACCCACGCCGCACTCCAGCCCAGATATCACCTCCCCCACATGCTCCTTCACCCGCCGAAGAGACGTCACCTGCCCTGAATGCACCCAGCGACCCTCCAAGTGCTGCTGCCTTGAACCCAAGCCTTCGCCCGCCTTCGCCCTCTTGCCGTTCATGCTCTTGCCTTTCTCTTGTTCAGTCACCATTGCCATAGCAACCCCATTCTTCCCACCTCCACGCCTCACCACTACGCTGCATCCTTTTTGCAGCCGCCCCTCGGTAACCATAACTCCTGCCACCCGCATGCTGCCCGTGCCGAAAACTGCCCGCACTTCTGCCCGGCCGAGGAACGAAGTCTCCTGTAAATTGCACAAGGGGGATATACCGGTACACAAAAGTATTCAACAACGGAGTGGGAATAGGTAGAAGATTATAATCAACAACGGTGTGGGAACAGGTAGAGGATAATAATCGACAGCGGCGAGGGAATCATCAGCCGTAAATTATAATAACCTACATTAACTACATGACAATGTTAACAAGTATGCAACATACCTCTACAGCATGAAGCAGCCCCTTCATTATCGCTCGAACCTCCTCCACCACATCGTAGATCACCCGATAAGACCTCACTCATGTTCATATGTATACGCACACATGCATATGTATATAATTTCTGTAACAAGTGTGTAACGCACCTCTACAGTGTGAAGCAGCCCCTCCATGATCGCCCGAACCTCCTCCACCACATCGTAAATCACCCGGTGCTGCCTCACTCGCACTCCTCTCATCTCTGCCGCTGCTGCGACAGCTGGCGACACGGCCACATTGAATGCCAGCACAACTGCTGAGCTGGACGCTGCCAGGTCAACGTCACTGCTTGACACGTCACCAGGGGCCTGAGGACAGGGACAGAGGAGGAGGAAGAAACGGAATTGGAACGGGAAGGAAGCACATCCTTTCTCCCTCACATCGCCTCACCTGTAGCAGGAAGCGCAGAGACACAGTGTCATGAGGCAGACTCCCCAGCGCATGCAATAATCCCTGGCAGCCCACTTGACCCCTTTCAACCTGGATTTACCCACCCCCACCCCTTGTTCCAATGCCCCTCACCTGCAGCAGGAAGCGCAGTGACACGGTGTCCTGAGGCAGACTCCCCAACGCCTCTCTGATCGCCTCCACTGACCCCTGGCAGTCCACCTTTAGAATCACATTAACCACATGTAATTCCACCTCCTCCTCCTCCTCCATCTCCTCTCCCCCTCCCCTCCTTGCACCAGCAGCACTGGTACTACCAACACCAGCAGCAGCACCAGCAGCACCGTTAGCAGCAGCAGAACCAGCCGCAGCAGCACCACCAGCGCCAGCAGCAGTGGCGAAAGCAGAGAGAGTCACTTTTGCCTCTCCCTGCATTGCTGCCAGCCGAGCCGTTCGCGATTTTTCAGCAGCTTCCTCAGCCATGGCCCTGGCTGCATCAATGCACAGCAGCACGTGAAACTCATCCCCTGCCACTGGAACACGGGAGAGCCCCTCCACCTGCACTGCCATAGATGGCCCTGCTGCCTTAGTCTTCTTCCCTTTGTCATCTACCAAGGCTCGTACCTGGAGGAGAGGGGAGGAGTTGGGTGGAGTGGGGGAGAGCGGGAGGTGCGCATGAACAATACTGGCTGCATCGATGCACGGCAGCACATGAAACTCGTCCCCTGCCACTGTAACACGGGAGAGTCCCTCCACTTGCACTGCAGTGGATGGGGGTGCTGCTGTTCCCTGGTCCCACAGTCACTCACCAGGGCTCGAACCTGGAAGAGAGGGAATCGGGGGGTGGGGGATGGGCGGGTGGGGGTAGGTAGGCATGAGGTATCCTGGCTGCATCGACGCACGGCAGCACATGAAACTGGTCCCCTGCCACGGGAACGCGAGAGAGTCCTTCCACCTGCACTGCTGCTGACGGCCCTGCTTCCTTGGACTTGCTTCCCCTGTCGTTCACCAGGGCTCTAACCTGCAGGAGAGGGAGAGGGGGAGGGTGATAGGCAGGCATGAACTTCCCCTGGCTGCATTTGCATTGACACACGGCAGCACATGAAACTGGTCCCCTGCCATGGGAACACGGGAGAGTCCTTCTGCTGCTGATGGCCCTGCTTCCGTTCTTCTGCTCCCACTGTCGCTCACCAGCGCTCGAAGAGACTTTTGAGTCGACTCAAAAGTCTTCTGCTCCCACTGACGAGTTGACTTTTGAGTCGACTCAAAAGTCTTCTGCTCCCACTGTCGCGCACCAGCGCTCGAATCTGGAAGAGAGGGAGGGGAGGGGATAGGTATGCAATTTCCTCGGCTGCATCAATGCACGGGAGCACGTGGAACTGGTCCCCTGCCACCGGCACACAGGACAGCCCCTCCACTTGTACTGCCATGGATGGGGGTGCTTCTTTAGCCTTGGTCCCACAGTCACTCACCAGGGCTCGAACCTGGAAGAGAGGGAATCGGGGGGTGGGGGATGGGCGGGTGGGGGTAGGCATGAGGTATCCTTTTGAGGCGCCTCAAATGAGGTATCCTATCCTGGCTGCATCAATGCACGGCAACACGTGGAACTCGTCCCCAGCCAGCCACCAGTACACGGGAGAGCCCCTCCACTTGCACTGCTGTGGATGGGGCTGCTTCTTTAGTCTTCTTTCCCGTGTCGTCGATCTGCACTCGGGATAGACCCTCCACCTGCAGAGTCTGCAGACCATCACGTCTTCCAATGTCAACCTCCCATTCTACACCACAAGTGTTGCCACGGGCTTTGTTCACCCCTTGACTTTTGAGTCGACTCAAAAGTCAAAAGTCAACTTTTGAGTCGACTCAAAAGTCAATGTCAACCTCCCATTCTACACCACAAGTGTTGCCACGGGCTTTGTTCACCCCTTTCCCCATACCCCGATCCTTCCTAACACACACTTTTGAGGCGCCTAAAAAATCGCCTCAAAAGGCGCCTCAGAAACTCTTCTGAGGCACCTCAGAAACCTCCCATTCTGCGCCACAAGTGTTGCCACGGGCCTTGCTCACCCCTTTCCCCGTACCCTTATCCTTTCCTAACACCCCTCCCCTCACCTTGCCATATGCTACACCGCAAACAACAACGTCTCCCAGCCGCAGCGTCCCATTCTGCAACAGCAGCGTTGCCACGGGCCCTCATTTCCCCTCATTTCCCCTCAATTCCTCCACCCATTCTCCCATCCAGACCCCCCCTCCCCTTACCTTCCCATATGCCTCCCCGCAAAGCACCACATCTCCCAGCTTCAATGTTCCGTTCTGCACCAGCAGCGTTGCCACGGGCCCTCTGTGCCGGTCCAGCCGTGCCTCTATCACCGTCCCCACTGCCGGCCTATTCGGGTTCGCACGCAGCTCCTGAATCTGCCAAGGGGGTAGTAGAATGCAGAGAGGTGCAGTGGGGTGCAAATAGGTGGAATAATTGCTCTAATGCACAAGCAACAGCAGCACCAGCAGCGTTGCCACGTGTGCCGGTCCAGCCGTGCCTCTATCATTGTTTCCACTGCCGGTCTGCTGAGGTTGGCCTGAAACTGCTGAATCTGTATTGTGAGGAACGCGGAGGGGTGAAGAGGAGTGAAGAGGAGTGCAGAGGAGTGCAGAGGGGTGCAGTCGGGTGCCGGGAGCGAGAAGTGCAAGGTGTAAGCAGTACATCACCCATGCATCAATCCCTGAGACTAACTATTTCACCCACTCTCCCACCCATCCACATCTCCTTAACCACTCAGCCCTTCTTCACCACTCTTCACCACTTTCCACCCTGCTCCTTTCGTTTCTCACCTTGGCCAGCAGCATGATCGTCTCTAGAATCTAATCCAAGCCCTCCCCCGGCTTGGGTGCTCACCTCACTAATGCACTCAGCCTCTCTCCACAGCTCCCCACCACTCTCCACCACTCTCGACCACTCCCAACCATCTTTCTCTTCGTTTCTCACCTCGGCCAGCAGCATGATCGTCTCTAGCAGCTGATCCACGCCCTCTCCTGTCTTGGCACTCACCTGCAGATGAAGAAAATAGGGGGTTGTAGTGCGGTGGGATGCGGTGGGGTGGGAGAAAGAATGAATGGATCAAAGGGCAAAAGAGTTAGACGTTTCTAAAGCTGATCCACGCCTTTTCCTGTTTCGGTGCTCACCTGTGGATAAGGAGAATAGGGGGTTGGATGCAGTGGGGTGGGGTGGAGAGGGGTCATCTCATCTAGGGTAAACAGAACGAGTCCAACTCTTTTTCTTTTGAATCCTTTATATTTACACTACCGGCATCATAAACAGCACAATGTATTCTCCCTCCCTCTGCTTTCTCACTCACCGGCACCATAGGTGTGTCCCCTCCCCATTCCTCTGGCAACACCCCTGCTTGCCCCAGCTGCTGCTTCACCCTCTCCACACTCGCTCCCTCCCGATCAATCTGGGTAAGAGAATATGATGTAGAGAGGTAGGAAAACGGTGCGACTTTTGAGAATTCTCAAAAGACCTTCCCAATCAATCTGGGTAAAATCATATATGATGTAGAGAGGTGGGAAAATGGGATCCTACATCCGCGTGCATTAAGGTGTGTTTTCCTACCTCTCTAGGCGCTTTTGAGTCGACTCAAAATCATACATCCGCTTTTGAGTCTCTCTAGTCGCCTCTCTAGGCGCCTCTCTAGGCGCCTCAAAAAACGGGACCATACTTCATTCGTAGAAAGAGGTTAGCGCACCGGTTAGAGCCACAGTAAGAATAAAGCCAACTAGAGCAAGCAGGCATCTTCAAGTATCATCTTGATTCCCTGTCATGCAACATTGCTTGTTACCAGTAAGAGAACACCTCACTACAAGCACACCTCACTACAAGCACACCTCACTACAAGCGCACCTCACTAACAGAGCACCTCACTACAAGCGCACCTCACTAACAGCGCACCTCATTACAAGCACACCTTGTTGATGGCGATGAGCATGGGCACGTCGGCAGCGCGGGCGCGGGCAATTGCTTCTGAGGTGTGCGGCATGACCCCGTCGTCTGCTTCCACCACAAGTGAATGGGCATTCCCGGTTACCAGCACAGCCACACACCTTCACCACACCGTGCAGCCATGCTAGAATCACACCTTATTGATTGCGATAAGCATGGGCACGTTGGCAGCGCGCGCATGGGCTATGGCTTCTGTGGTCTGGGGCATGACCCCATCGTCTGCTGCCACCACCACCACTGCTATGTCTGTCACACGTGCACCCCGGGCGCGCATGGCACTGAATGCCTGCACGGGCAATGGAAGAGTGTGGGGGAGGGGGGAGAAAGGGGGGGGGGGGGGGGAGAGAGGGAGGGGTGTGGGCGTGTGAGATGGTCTTTGTGGTCTGAATGGCATGACCCCATCGTACCACCACCACTGCTATGTCCATCACCCTCGCTCCCCTTGCTCTCATTGCACTGAATGCCTGCAAAACGTGGCCGTTTGGGAAGAAGGAAGGGAAGAGGGGGAGGGGGGGGTGGGGGAGTGTTGAAGTAAAGAAGGGGATTGCTTTTCTGCCTTTACAATCACATGCCATGTCTTGTCTTGTGAAGCCATTGCAGTCCATGTCATGTAGTGACGTCTTATCCCACCTTGTCCGATCCCATCCCATCCCATCCCATCCCATCCCATCCCATCCCATCCCATCCCATACCATCCCATCCCATCCCATCCCATCCCATCCCATCCCATCCCACTGCATCTCCACGCAACCCCTCACCTCATGCCCTGGTGTGTCAAGGAAAACACAAGTCTCAGCAGCAGCCTTCTCAGCAGCAACAGCAGAAGCAGCATCATCGCCAGCACTTCTCATCCCATCCCATCCCACCGCATCCTTCCACGCTCTCACCTCATGCCCCGGAGTGTCAAGAAAAACACAAGTCTCAGCAGCAGCCCTCTCAGCTGCAGCAGCAGAAGCATCAGCAGCATCAGCAGCAGCAGCAGCATCAGCATCACCAACAACACCGTCGCCCTCAGCACAATTGCTATCAGCAGCAGCAAGAGCAGCAAAGGGCACGTGCACGCGGTAAGCGCCGATGGCCTGAGTGATCCCGCCTGCCTCCCCTGCTGCCACCTTGGTGTGGCGAATGTAGTCTAGTAGTGACGTCTGTATCACGCACTCATGCAAACATGCCGACACATATGCAGAAACACATGTGCACACACACACACACACACACACACACACACACACACACACACACACACACACACAAACGCACACGCACGCATGCATGCACGCACACACACACGCACACACACACACACACACAAAGAAGGCAGCAGGAGAAGAGAAAAAGAAAGAATCCGACCAGCTTATGTCAGAATACATAAATCGAAACTGGAAGGGGAAGTAGAGCATATGCTGTAATTGCAGTCACAAGCAACGAGCAACGAAATCTGCCTGTAGTCACAACAGGCGGGCGCGGCACCATATGCTCCGAATCAATCCTCTTCCAGAGGCCATATTCAAGTCAACTAACAATCGGGGTACTATATGTGTCTGTCCACGGTCCATGTTGACTTTTGAGTCGACTCAAAATGTGTCTGTCCACGGTCCATGTTGACTTTTGAGTCGACTCAAAATGTGTCTGTCCACGGTCCATGTTGACTTTTGAGTCGACTCAAAATGTGTCTGTCCACGGTCCATGTTGACTTTTGAGTCGACTCAAAATGTGTCTGTCCACGGTCCATGTTGACTTTTGAGTCGACTCAAAATGTGTCTGACTCACCTTGCCATGGTCCACGTGTTTCATCACAGTCACAACTGGTGGCTGCGGCACCAGATTCCTCAATTTGAGTCTTACCTTGCAGGTGCATGGTGGTGGTCTATTAAAGCTGCGGTCTACATACCAAAGGGTATTTTCTGGGGGTATTTCGTGTGCACACCCTAAGACGCAGTCTGATTTGCACACGAAATGATCCCTTTCCAGAAATGAGAGCGCGAAGGATTCAAACACAACTGGCGAATCCCGCCAGTTTCGTGCAAGGTTTGGTTGGGGGGGTACTTTTTTCGTGAGGTTGGGGTTGTGGTGGCGATTTCGCCACAACCTGCAACCAATCGAGGTTGGGGGGTAGATTGGCGCGAAATTTGTAAGCCAATCCTGAGCAGACCAACTTTCAGAGGGGGGGTTGGGTTGTCAGAAAGCAGTAACTGCACCTCGCCACCCAAGGATGGAGCGAAGCCCTGTGCTACCTGGTTTTCAAGTGATAAACCAGGTCCTCCCGCAGGAGGTATGTAGGCGACAGCTTTAAGAGCTCACCTTGCCATGGTCCACGTGTCCCATCACCGTCACAACCGGCAGCCGCGGCAGCAGGTGCGCACGATCCTCCTCCTGTGTTCCAGAGGCTGTATGTGGGCGCACCTTGCCATAATCCATGGTATCTCATCCATTGCTTGAGTCTCACCTTGCCATGGTCCACGTGTCCCATCACAGTCACAACCGGCGGACGCGGCACCAGATGCTCCCGATCCTCCTCCCCCACAAACTCACGAACCTTCCTCGCACTTTCCTCCACGCCGCCCTCCTGAGGTCCCAGCACCTCCACCCCATACTCCCCGCACACCACCGCCACCATATCCTCGTTAAGAACCTGATTCACGTTCGTTATAACGCCCTTCATGAACAGTGCGCACACTATATCCCCCTCGCCGACCGCTAGAAGACCCGCTAGGTCTTTAACCGCCATTCCTGCTTTTCCCACTTCGATTATCTCGGCTCGGGTGGGTGCTGATGCGTTGGCTGCTGCTTCCCTGGCTGCTCTCCTCTCTGCCTTGCTCGTTCTCCTATGCTCCCGCTTCTCTGCCCCTGATATCCCCGTTTTAGACATAACCGCTGCTGCTGCTGCTGCTTTTGAACCAGCCGATTTGAAACGGCCCGATTTGGAGGAAGCAGATTTTGAGAAAGCTGATCTCGGAATGATAGTAAAAGCAGCACCACCACCACCACCAACAGCAGCAACTCTACCTGTCACAGCTGTTTTTGCTGCTCCCCCTCTCTTCCTCCTCAGCCCTTCTCGTTCACCCACCCATTCCGGCCGTCTCATCCCCTCCTCGACTCTCACCTGCCCCGCTCTTCTTACCCCTGCACCTGCCGGTGTGCCTTCAGCTACTGTGCCTGCTGCTACCATTCCTGTCACTGGGTATGTAACTGTGCCTCCCACCGCCCCTGCCACCGTACCTGCCACCGTACCTGCCACCGTACCTGCCACCGTAGCTGTCTCCGTACCGACCACTGTGCCCGCTGCTACCATGCCTGTTACACCATCTCCTCTCTGCTCCCTCCCCTCCTCTGTTATATGCCTCCCTTCCCCTGCTTCTCCCCCTGCCCCCTCTTCCCTGCTCACACTCCCTTTCTCACTCCCTTCCTCAGTCCCTCTCTCCCCCATTTGCTCATCTCCTTCATTCGACCCTCCTACTCTTCTTGCCTCTATTCCCTTGCTCTCCAGCCCTGCCACGTGGCCTTCGTTATATGCACCTCTTATAGGCTCAACGTGCACGGGAAGACAAACACTTACCCTACCCTGCACCACCGCTTCGTTGTTAGCACGTTCCATATAAGCATCCTCCCTGGGTGTTCCCAATGGTCTAAACACTCTAACAGGTCTGGAGGACAAAACACTAATGGCTGGTGGCCGAGTTTCCGCCGAACCAGTTCCGGGCCTGACAGGCTTAGGCCGAGCCTGCAGCACTGGCACGTCGTCAGATTGGTCAATGGAAGAGGCTTTTGTCTGCCGAACATCATTCGCAGGCTTGGGTGTGTCGGAGCTCGGTAACTGAGGCTTGGAAAGTGCTGCTGTTGCTTGGTCCGAGCTAGGCTCAGAAACCAAAGCAGGGGATTGGAGAGCAGCAGCAGGAGCAAGGGGAGCGACTGGGCCATGGGGTGCAGGAACAGCAGGGGGAGCAGCAACAGCAGCAGCCGCAGGAGCTGCAGGGGGGGCAGCAACAGCAGCAGCCGCAGGAGCAGCAGGAGGAGGACCTGCAGCAGTGGGAGCAGCAGGAGCAGCAGGAACAGCCATAGCAGTGGCAGCAGGACGAGGAGGCACAAAAGACACAGCCACGGTTGTCTTGAACACGTCTGGCTGCTGGGTGGAATAATGCGCCCCTGACCCTTCCTTAAACCCTCTCGAGGCTGCAAACTGCGCCCCTCCGCTTGCACTCTTAAACCCTGAACCTCCCATTAACCCTGATCCGTCCAGCCTTGCCTCTGGCTGTACAGCTGGCACGACTGGTTTGCGTGGCAAAGAGGGTTTAACCTTGAGGGAGGGGAGGAGAGAGCCTGGCTGGATGGGAAGAGGCACGCCCACATGCATTCTTGGAATGGCAACTGGCAACTCTACCTCCCCCTCGTCAGTCTTGGGAGACGACTGCTCCTCCTCTACTGCTGCTGCTGCTATCTCTGGCGTATCCTCTGCTGTAACATCAGAAACCGGAGCAGTAGCAGGTGCAGGAACAGGAGTGGGAACGGGGGCAGGAGCAGGAGGAGGAGGAGGAACAGCAAGAGGACGATGAAGCTTAACAGGAGGACTACTAAAGGGTACAGATTCAGACTGTGGCAGTACTGAGGCGGTTACTGCTGGTGGTGCTGCTGCTGCTGATGATGATGACGACGACGACGACGACGACGACGACGACGACGACGACGACGACGACGACGACGACGACGACGACGACGACGATGATGATGATGATGATATTACTGCTGCTGGAATTGAGGCTGCTGCTGCTGGTAATGAAACTGCAGCTGCTGGCGGTGAAACTGCTGCTGATGATGATGAAATAGCTGCTGCTGGAGGCGAAATGGTTGCATGCACTGCATTTCCTACAGACTTTGCTTCGTCTGCTGCTCCTGCTGCTGCGAGCTCTTCTCCCCCCTTACTTGCAGCACCCTGAGCTAGCTTCTTAGAACTCACCTCTTTACAATCACTCCGAAAAGAGTCAATCAACTCATCCATAACACTCCTCCCCCCCCCCCCTCCTTCCATCCCCGTCCATTCCCCTCTCCTCTTTCCCCTCCCCCTCCCCCACCCCCTCCCCCACCCCCTCCCCCACGCCACCCTTAAGCTCCCCTGCCCCTCTAAAACCCTCACCCCCCTTCAACCCGAAATTCAGACCTCCGCGCGTATCCTCCCCCTCCCTGCGCCCCGCTTCCGCCAGCATATCCCTCAAAATGCGCAGCGCCTGCGCCTTTTGCGCCGCGGACACAGGGGGGCGCGCAGGGAGGGGCGTAGAAACCCAGGGATAAGGGGAACGAGTGGGGCGAGGGGGGGATATACGGTCTCTGCCTGTGCTGGTGGTATCAGAAAAGCTCCTGCTGCGCCTGCTGCTGCTGATACCCCTGCTGCTAACGCCCCTCCTCGTGTAACTGGTGCTGCTGCTGCTACTGGTACTGCTGATGCTGTTGCTGCTGGAGCCATCACCAGTGCCGGCGCTGCTACTGCTGTTGAACCCCAAGTCCTCATCGCCGCTACCTGCCCATTTACCCTCCCCTTCTTCCTTGCGAAGCCCCGAAGGCCGCCGAGCCGTGGGCGGCGAATGCTCGCGCGGTTTAACCGGCTTGTAAACCGACGCGAAGGTTGACGAATGTGGGGTTACCACAGATCGCTGATTCCGACCTGGGGAGGCAGGGTTCAAGGGCGGCGAATTCCGAACCACCGGTTTTCCCAGCTGCATGTGAAAAACCCTGGCGGAAAGAACCCCCGCTCTGGCCCGCGACGCCGTTCCTTCGGGCAGCGGAATGAAATCTCCTCTCCTGCCCATCGTGCGGCTGCTGCCACTGCTCTCCTCGCTTGGGGCGGTCAGGTCGAAATCTTCCGGGATGCTGACCGGTCCTGACGTGGCAATCGCGTCTTTAGCAGCAAGATTGTTATTTCTTGACGGAAATTCATCCCGCTGCTGATTTGGCTGTTGCCATGGTGACGCTGACGTCAGCTTAGGGAAGTGGTGCGGCGAGACGGATCTGTTTGCATCGCTGTGATTCGCTGGCCGAAACGAGCCGCCAGGTGGGATGGAAGATGCTGACGTGACGCGCACGGCGGACAGACGAAGATGGGCCAATCGCTTGCGAGAGCCCTTCGGGAGGCCCTTGGATCCCACTTCTAGGGCGTTTACACTCACGGCGCTGGGGAATTTACGAAGATTACCCTGGGAATGCTCTTGCAAGGCCTTGAGGGTTGAAAGGGAGGAGAGGCGGGAAGCGTCGTTCACGTGCGTATGCGCGCATGGGCAGAACGACGAAGCGGCGGAAGCGGAGAAAGCGGCGGAAGCCGCCATCCTGGGAGCTTCTAAGCGTCGCCGAAAAGAACTTCTATTCTTGTGAATGAACTTGAGATCTTCGCCGCACAACTTGCAATCTTCGCCGCACAGCTTGCGACCTTCGCCGCACAACTTGCGATCTTCGCCAATGCCAAACGGACCGGCAAGCGGATTGATGCAGACGGTGTTGCGGATGGATCGTCGCGGAGGGCAGGCGAACTGTTGCAGACGGAGACGGATCGTTGCATACGAATCGTCGCAAAGGGCAGGCGAATCTTCGCAAAGGAGACGACTCGTCGCAGCTACAGATATTCAGAATGCGTGACGTTTGGGACAGCTGATGCGCGACGACTGAGACGATGCGGGACGGTAAGCCTTATCCCCGAATGCAGATCACTGACTTGTTACGATGACCGCGCACCGTGCCAGAAGCTACTGACTACTACTGCTAATCTACCAAAGCAGCAGCTTGGATCTCCTCCGCCACGACTCAGCTGCAGAGGGTTTTGCCGCGGGAGCCAATCTCTTGCTCGTCGCGATCCACGGCGAGATCGCACGAGCAAGAACTGCGATGCTTGCTCGATCAGGATATATCAGAGTCGTACACACGCGGATTTTTTTGCCAAAGAGGATACGTCACGATGGGAGGAAAACTGACTTTAGGAGGTTATGAGAAGGACGCAGGGCTTCTAAGCTTCGCCTTGGAAGACTGGAAGTGGGGGTGCTAAGGTGGTGTCCATAAGTCAGCTCCTAGCATCCAGCTCAACCGTTATTCATAACGATTAGATTCCTCTAGAACGTATATCAGCGCCCTGAAGCATGATCAGGCTCTTGCTGGATTAGTTGCGCCTTGATCAAGGCGAAGGAGCAGGACAGAAGCAAAAACGTCGAGCCTGAGCTTGGGTTTGAGTCAGGTCCGAGTATTGCCGAGCCGATATGGCGGCTTCGCTTTGGCTGAGATTTCGAGCCTACAAGGAGCAAACCATTCAGCTGATTGGTCATGGCGGCAAACTAAGCGAGGCTCGAGTTGCCTGACCTCGCTTTGCTGGAGCCGCCCAAAAGCAAAATGCTGGCGGGCGCCACCGTGGCAACATTGCTGCGGTGGCGAGAGGCGTTACTGGCGTGGAACGGGTCGAGTGGGCTGTAAAAACGCTTCGCAGTGCTGTGCGCGACAGCGCACGAAAGCGTCGTAATCCCGAATGCCCTTCGCGAAGTCGAGCACCACTTTATCTGGGCCAAATCTTAGATGCCGCCTATGTCAGCATTGTGGGGAAGTGACGTGGTGATCACACCGCAAACCCAGAAGGATCAGTACTCGTTAAGAAGAGCATACGCTATATTTTCTTTTGAGTTCCACATGTGAGCCTTTTGCTAGACAATTCTAGACCCAGTATGTTGTGAATTACACATTAAGTCAGCTAAATGATTAGTTGTAATAATCATCCATACACAATGGCAGCCTCATTTGGCCTTCTATACTGAGATACATGACAGTCTGGGGATACAACGGACGACGAAATGTAGTCCTCTGCCCGACCTTCTAATGGGAAGTCGCATGAATCGCCGGTATATGCATCTATCCGACCAATGCCACCACTATCCACGTCATTATTCTGTTCACCACTCTGTTTAAAGCTTTCACTCTCGCTTTCCGCACTCTCCAGCCCACTTCTTGGCGCATTTAATTCTGATGACCAATCACCTGGTGACTCATCATCCGAAACCGATTGGGCACGGGTCATGAGATTCGCCAAGATGGCATAGTTGAGGTCATGATTTGATCTGCCAGGGTGGATTACAAAGGGTGGGCGAAGGAAAAATGGCAGAAGCAAGCTCAGGCTTCAGCACTTGAGAGAATATCAGGCAAGTGAAGAAACAGACAGGAAACTGCCCAAGTTAGGATATATGCTGGACTGGAAGTTATGCGTTTGGAAATTACTGACGGTAGCACCAGAGCAACAAGCCCTGAACCCTGTGAGTCAACATGAGTGAATCAACATGTGAATCTTCACTACTGGTGGGGCATGCCACTCGCCTATGGTCCTCCCCTTGAGCATGTCTGTCTCACCACGCCATGCTCACTGGTTCAGTACCGGATACTCCCAAGGTTGGTTCACCTCATCTGCCGCCCTGCTCCCCAACCCCCCCCCCCCCCCTCCCCCCGCCCCCACTCCTCCCTTCCCCGTCATCCTCCGGTCCTGATTCCACCCTCAACTCCCACCTTTGCCTCCCGTCCTATTCCCAAGCCATGAACTCTGGGGGACTGCTGGATACTTTTGAGACGTCTCAAAAGAACTCTGGGGGGGACTGCTGGATACTTTTGAGACGTCTCAAAAGAACTCTGGGGGACTGCTGGATACTTTTGAGACGTCTCAAAAGAACTCTGGGGGACTGCTGGATACTTTTGAGACGTCTCAAAAGAACTCTGGGGGACTGCTGGATACTTTTGAGACGTCTCAAAAGAACTCTGGGGGACTGCTGGATACTTTTGAGACGTCTCAAAAGAACTCTGGGGGACTGCTGGATGCTCCCAAGGTCTGTTGACTTCACCTGGCCTTCCCCACACCTCACTTCACCCCCTCTCGTCCTTCCCTCGCCCCACACTCGCCCCGCTCGCTCTTCCACCTCACTCGCCCTTCATCCCTAAACGCCAGCCCCACCACGCCATGCACAATGGGGGAGAGAGCCTGATACTCCCAAGGTCCGTTCACTCCTCACTGCCCCATGATCCCCCCCCCCCCCCCCCCCCCCACCCTGCCACTTCTTTCCCCTTAATCCCACACTCACCCTTCACCCCTGCACGCCTGCCCCACCACGCAGTGCGCTCTGGGCGAGTGCCGGATACTCCCAAGGTCCGCTCAGCTCACCTGCTCGACTCTCCTGCTCCCCTTCCTTCCCCCCTTGCCCCCACACTCACCCTTCATCCCTAACGCTTGCCCCACCACGCAGTGTGCTCTGAAGGAGTGCCGGATACTTCCAAGGTACACTCACGTCACCTGCCCCCACTCACCCTCCCCGCCTTCCTCCCACCTTCACCACCTTCCCACTCACCCCTCATCCCTGTATGCCTGCCCCACCACGCCATGCACTCTCGGGCTGTGCCGGATACTCCCGAGGTTGGTTCACTGCACATTCCCCCCTCTCCCCCACTCATCCCCTTGTCCCCCACACTCACCCTTCATCTCTGTACGCCTGCCCCACCACGCAGTGCGCTCTGGGCGAGTGCCGGATACTCCCAAAGTCCGCTCAGCTCACCTGCTCGACTCTCCTGCTCCCCTTCCTCCCCCCCTTGCCCCCATACTCGCCCTTCATCCCTAAACGCCTGCCCCACCACGCAGTGTGCTCTGGGGGAGTGCCGGATACTTCGCCCTGCCCCTCCTTCCCCCCTCAACCCCTCCCAATCCTTTCCCCTTGACCCCACACTCACCCTTCATCTCTGTATGCCTGCCCCACCACGCCATGCACTCTGGGCGAGTGCCGGATACTCTCAAGGTTAGTTCCTGTTCCCCTTCCCACCCCACCCCACCCTCCTGTTCCTGCTCCACACTCACCCTTCATCTCTGTATGCCTGCCCCACCACGCCATGCACTTCGGGAGAGTGCCGGATACTCCCAAGGTCCAGCATCAGGTGCACCTCGGCATCCTCCTCTTCCTGCAGCAAGGGGTGGGCTGGCCGTAGACGAACCTCTGCCTGGGGAAACGAAAACACAGGGAGGCACGGGAAGGGAACAAGAGCCTTATGGGTATTCCAGCGCTCTGGGATACTCCCAAGGTCCAGCATCAGGTGCACCTCGGCATCCTCTTCTTCTTGCAATAAAGGGTGGGCTGGCCGAAGCCGGACCTCTGCCTGCAAGGTTGGGACAAAAGGGGAGAGAGAGAAAGGATTGGGGGTGAGAAGGGGGAGTTACACGAGTGTCGGATACTCCCAAGGTCCAGCATCAGGTGCACCTCCGCGTCCTCTTCCGCTTGCAATAAAGTGTGGGCTGGCCTAAGCCGGACCTCTGCCTGGAAGATCGGGACAGGAAAGGAAAAAGAAGAAAGGTTTGGGGAAGGGAGGGGGTGGTTGCACGAGTGCTGGATACTCCCAAGGTCCAGCCTCAGGTGCACCTCAGCGTCCTCCTCCTCTTGAAGTAAAAGGGTGGGCTGGCCGGACGTGGACTTCTGCTGGGAAGATGCAAACACAGGGATATACTCATATTTTTCGAGTATATCACATAGTGCAAAACACATACCTCCAGCAGCCCTGCCAGCTTGACGGAACACGCATCGACGTCGCAATTCCCACTCTTTTCCTACAGATCCTAGTTCCAGAGTGTACCCGTAGTAATACGAGTGTATCACATAGTGTACCCACCTCCAACAGCCCTGCCAGCTGGAAAGAACGAAGAACACACATCCACGTCGCAATTGCTGCTCTTCTCCTATGGTTCCTTGTCCCAGAGCGTACCAATAGTACCGTGTGTACAATACAGTTTATGAATAGTAAAGTGAGTGCATTACAGTGCACCCACCTCCAGAAGCCCTGCCAGATTGACAGAATAAACATCCACGTCATAGTTGCCGCTCCTCTCCTACACTTCCTCTTGCCAGAGTGTACTGCTAGTGCTGTGCGTGTACAACAGATACTATCTACAGCATTCTGAGTATCGCACAATGCACCCACCTCCAGCAGCCCCGCCAGCTTGACAGAATACACATCCACGTCGTAGTTGCCGCTCCTCTCCTACGCTTCCTGTGTATTGATAGTATATGAGATTTCACACAGTTGACTTTTGAGTCGACTCAAAACTCAACTCCCTACGCTTCCTGTGTATTGATAACATATGAGATTTCACGTAGTGTACACACCGCCAGAAGCCCTGCCAGCTTCACGGACTACTGATCCACGTCGTCACTACCGCTTATCTTCCTACAGTTTCTACTCATATCAGTACCACGCAGTATACACACCTCCAGCAGCCCTGCCAGCTTGACAGAGTACACATCCACGTCATAGTTGCCGCTCCTCTCCTGCCGTGCGTAGGTCACGGTTCCTTCTCCGTCGAACAGGCTCAACTCGTCACCCAACTGCAAAGGGCGAGCGGGATGGGGGGTTGGAAGAGAGAGGGATCAAAGGAATTTGTCAACGAGGCGAGGTGACTTGTGAGTCGACTCAAAAGTCACCTCTTTACAGGATGCTGATCAAAGGTAGAAGGTTAAATCCCCTAGTTTAGGGACCGTTGTGTTGTCTTCTCTCAACTAGGAGGTGAAACACTCACCCCAGGACGCGGAACCACGATTTCATCCACCTCGGCTCGGCCCAGAAGCCTTTCGCTTCTCATCATTGCAATCATAAGTCGACATTTATACTGTACGCAAAAACGCCAGTACACGACCTTCGGTGGTACACTCACCCCTAGGCGCGGAACCGCGATTCCGTCCACCTCGATTCGCCCCATGAACCCCTCGCCGCGCTCCTGCTTCGGGCCGCGCCGCGCGACCAGCCGAAGGGAATGCTGCGTCTTGCTCCCGCGTTGATGATTGGTCCACCATACAAATCCAAGCTCTCTGATTGGTGGGAGCGAGAAGGTATGTGATAATAATGAGGGGCTCTGCTCCATCACTTGGTATATTTCAAGTTATCCCCCCCATCCCACACCACCTGATCCAGGTGCGCACTTTAGCGCCCTTTTCCGCGCCTTCCCCCCCTCAGCCTCCCCTCCCCACTAGGCTCGCCTGATCCAGGTGCGCACTTTAGCGCCAGTCACGGGCGCATCCAGGTGTAAACCCCCCTCGCACCCCTTCCCTTAGCCCACACCAGCCCCGTTCCCTCCATTCTCCCCGCCCACACCCCCTCTCCCTCCTCCCCCACCCTCCTAGCCTCACCTAATCCAGGTGCGCACTTTAGCGCCGGCCACGAGCGCGGCCATTATATCGGAGCGGTTGTTATCGAGGTACCCCGTGAGGCGCATGTTGATGTGCAGGCGCGTGTCGGATACGAGGCAGAATGACGTCGGGCGGAGCTGCTGATAGGGGCGCGCGGGGGGAGCGACCTCCGCTGTAAAAGAAAGAGAAGGGGGGTGAAGGAGGGAGATTTGTAGGGAATTGAGAGGATGTGCAGGCGCGCGTCCGAGACGAGGCAGAATGACGTCGGGCGCAGCTGATGGTAGGGGCGCGCGGGGGGAACGACCTCCGCTGCAGGGGGAGAGGCGGAGCGGGGAAAATTGGGGAATGGAGCGTGGGGAAAAGAAGAGGGGGGGGGGAGGTTGGTTGAATTTAGGCGCGCGTCAGAGACGAGGCAGAAGGACGTTGGGCGCAGCTGCTGCTAGGGGCGCGCGGGGGGAGCGGCCTCCGCTGTAAAGAAACAGGGCGGGCGCGGGCGGGGGAGGGGAGAGGAAGGGGGTTGGAAACAGTGAGGGAGTGAAGGAGAATTTGGAAACAGGCGCGCGTCGGACACGAGGCAGAAAGACGTTGGTCGCAGCTGCTGGTAAGGACGCACGGGGGGAGCGATCTACGCTGCAGGGGGAGAGGCGGACAGGGGGGTGCGGAAGGGAGTGCGGGGGATGGAAGCAGGCGCCCGTTGGAGACGAGGCAGAGGACGTCGGGCGTAGCTGCTGGTAGGGGCGCGCGGGGGAAACAGCTTCCGCTGTGGAAGAAAGGGTAATGGGGGGAAAAGGGAGAAGGAGTGAGGGGGGGAAACTGATAACAGGCGCGCATCAGAGACGAGGCAGAGGATGTCGGGCGCAGCTGCTGGTAGGGGCGCGCGGACGGGGCGGCCTCCGCTGTAAGAGGGGGAAGGGAGAAGTGTGGGTGGAGCTGTGACAACGGTGGGGGGCACGTGTGCAGGCGGGAATTGGAAGCGAGGCGGATGGAGTTTGGGCCTGTCTGTTGATACTAGAAGCTTTAGCGGATGGGGAGCGGTTTCCGGTGGAGAAGTTGGGCCAGGGAGGAGTGGGTGAGGGAGAAGGAGGAGGGAGGGGAAGGGGCGTGGGATCGGGAAAGGTTTGGAAGGCTCAAGAGAGAGAAAATCAGCCACGGAGACTTGTACAATGGAGTTTACTCGATATTAGGCCGACTTTTGAGTCGACTCAAAAGGATCGGGAAAGGTTTGGAAGGCTCAAGAGAGAGAAAATCAGCCACGGAGACTTGTACAATGGAGTTTACTCGATATTAGGCCGACTTTTGAGTCGACTCAAAAGGATCGGGAAAGGTTTGGAAGGCTCAAGAGAGAGAAAATCAGCCACGGAGACTTGTACAATGGAGTTTACTCGATATTAGGCCGACTTTTGAGTCGACTCAAAAGGATCGGGAAAGGTTTGGAAGGCTCAAGAGAGAGAAAATCAGCCACGGAGACTTGTACAATGGAGTTTACTCGATATTAGGCCGACTTTTGAGTCGACTCAAAAGGATCGGGAAAGGTTTGGAAGGCTCAAGAGAGAGAAAATCAGCCACGGAGACTTGTACAATGGAGTTTACTCGATATTAGGCCGACTTTTGAGTCGACTCAAAAGGATCGGGAAATGTTTGGAAGGCTCAAGAGAGAGAAAATCAGCCACGGAGACTTGTACAATGGTGACTTTTGAGTCGACTCAAAAGGAGACTTGTACAATGGAGTTTACTCGATATTAGGCCCCTCACCTTGGTATCTGTACTCCTGCTGCCCGTGCCAGCTGCATCGACCGCCCACACTGCCAAGTATACATTCGAATCACGATTGGGTAATAAAGGATAAGGAGAAGGGAAACTGAGCAGGGAGTGACAGGAGTGTTACCAACAAGGTACTGGCAGGCGGGTCAGTACGAAGATAGTGATAAACGTGTTTCGGGAAGGAAAATCGAAAGTCCACAACTAACGGCTCGTCGACACTCTATCGCAAAAGACGTACAAGACCGCTGCTTACTATGAATCGGGTTCCCTGGGAGAGTAGACGTTGCTTATTCCGTTATTCGCGGCGCAAATTCCGCTGGTGTACAGGTAGCAAGTGCCGGAACTTGCGAGGAAGTTCCAGTAGCTGCACTGCGGCTGCTGGCGACACATGTGGCAGCAGTAAGCAGGCGCAGCACGTCGTCCAAGTCGCAAACCGTCACGCGCGGCTCGCACGCGATATTGCGCGACATCGCTGCGACTGTTTGCGAACGCGCCCTTGAAAACGTAACGGCCGCACGTCGCGGCTCCGCAAGCTGCCTTTTCGCCGACGAAAGCCGGACAAGATCCGGCAAAGGCGGAGGGGAGGAGCGCGATTAGGACAATAGCGAGTAGCAAAAGCGGAAACGTGTTCGCTTTTCGAGACATGGTTTGTCCGTAATGGAAATTAGTTGATACTCTGGCCGCCGCGTACCGTAATCTACATCGAGAGCTACCTTGACGGCTACACTGGTGGTTCCGACGAGTACGGCACACTGAGATTACAGGTAGAGAACAAACCATGGCGTGGTAATGGTCTCGTGAAGGCACAGTTATTATTTACAACGGATTTGCTGAATTAGCAGCCTCGCTGGTCTCAAGTCAATTATAAGTTGCACGGGTTTCTGAAGACAGATGCTCTGTACGGGCATCTCAAGTCGGTTGCTTTCCAAAATGGCGTCTGATACAGCGGGTTAGGGCTAAGTATTCAACACAGGCCTGAGTACTAGACTGGAGAAGAGCAATCTTCGTCCCCGCTCGTCTTCTCCCTGCATCCGAGGACCGACACCAACGGATCAAACAATCAAATGTTGCAGCTCATCAGTCACAAGACGCAGATGATGAAGTTGTGGGAGAGGGAAAATCGAGTGTACACAGTGACGAAAATGCAAGACCTTGTGTGTATGGCTGGTGGTATATGCGATTAAGAAGGTGGGATACGTTTCAGAACGTTTGTATAAAATTAAGGACGGTTACTAGGCTGTTTGTGATGGACAACAGAGAGTTTTGGGATTGGAAACATCGAAATTGAGGTGCGTAGAATGCTTGAGTAACGCAGCGCGTCGCGCCATCGGGAAAGTTGAAATTCGCCGCGACTCGCCTGGTGGTGGTGGTGGTTCTCAAATAAAAACCAATGCGCCACGGCACGGGTGACTGTGTGGCGCTGCTGCTGACAGGTTGCCTTTGGCACGCAAGTCTGTTGCATTCTGTGACACGGATGGCGATGGTGTGTTGTGTTTCTTCGCAAAAGGTGGACTCGATGGGGTGGCGAAAATTACATTTTCGTGATGTTCCCGCGTTACAAACCAGTGGTTTGGTTTTGAGGCGTTGCGTTTCCTCCGTCGCAAATCCACATGGAGATCTGTTAAAATCTGCAGAATTTGTATGTGTACATCTCAAATGCGTTTTGTGTATATATTCCAGATACCCACATTTCCCCCATCACCCCCCGCCCCGCTCTCCCCCCAGCTCCGCAACTTCATTCTCCCCATTCCTCCGCCGTTTCCTCTTTTCTCCGCCTTTCCTCTCCATCCCCATCTTTCCCCGTTCCCTTGCTCCCTCGCGCCCCTCAAACCCTAAAAGTTAAACCTACTTTATTCTGCTCTTTCCTTTCCCTTCCCCTTTTCTCGCTCGCCTCCCTCGCGCCTGAGCTCCGCAACCATGAAGGTGAGCTCCGATTAGGGTTGCTAACTCTAGCGTGAAACACGGCAGAATCGTGGGATCATAAGGCACTCCTTTTACTAGCTCCTTAGCCCGTTGCTATCGAGATTCTTAAGTCGCACGAATCAACTCTTGAGAATCCTAAAAACCTCTCGTATTAAGTAGCTCCCGCACGTTCAGTTCACCTCGCCTACCGCGTTCGACCCGTCCTCGTGCCCTTCCTCGGGTTTCTCACCTTCCCGTGTCTCAACGCGTCTCTAAACTCGCTCTCGGTTTCCCAACCTTGCCCTCGGGCTTCTTTTTATAAGCTGCAAGTCTCATCTTATTCCCCAGTTTCTCCACACAATGACGCCAATCCTACAGAGTGAATTCCTGTTGTCGTGCATGTGAGCTTCATTGACGATGTTTCGTACCCGTTCTGTAATTTGATTTGATTTGATCTGCAGCTCAACATTGCCAACCCCACGACGGGGTGCCAGAAGAAGGTCGAAATCGATGACGATCTCAAGCTGTAAGTCCCCTCAACGTTCTCTTCCATGAGGATAACACTTTACAGGCGCCTCGGATCCTGGTCTTAAGGTGTAGAGGGAGAAAGCGTTCGTCACTGATGGTAGCTTGCTTCCTGGTCAGCAGCGGCGCGGGTTCAGCAGCTAGATGCTACCTTCCGCTTCTTCGATTGGTCCCTTCGTCGTTAGGTTTGGCTTAACCTAAAACGCGCACGCCTGACCGTCGGCCGTTTCAGACAACGGAGATACAGTTTTGGAGATCTCGTATCCGTCAACGGAGTTATTGCCACGACCCTTGGGGGGGGATAGCTAGAGCAGTGTAGGAGCGGGCACTGTGAAAAGCGTAACGACTTTTGAGGCGTCCTATAAGTCCTATTGTTGCGACGACTCGATGAGAAGCATAACCAGAGCAGTGTAGAAGCGGAATCTGGGAAGCGCCTTTCGTTGACGAAGCCGGGAGTTATGGTGGCTGCAATAGCGATGCGATCAGTGTAACAGAGGCTTCAGCGACGAGATTCTTCGTTTAGGGTGTGACAACGCTCGAATTTGCTCGATTGAGTAGTGCTGGTGAGTGCTGAGGATTCTCCAAAATCGTGGTGACAGGAGAGTTTCTGAAAGTGAAGTTATTTCTGGCTAAGACGCGCTGTACGCAGCTTGTGAGGGTCATCCAGCGTGTAGCTTCTTGTTGCACCGAGTATATTCTGTTAACCTTATGGCGGATCACACATAACTGCACGATGGAGGCGTGAGTATTCCCGCCGGTCAAGAACGGGTGACTTCTGAGTCGTCTAGGAAATACTCTTTTAAAGCTCTCCGTGTATCTGCCCTCCCTTCTGCCGCTGCTCATTCGAGGATTTTATTTCCGTTATTGACGGAATCTAATACGGTTTCCCACCAGCCTCCCTCGATTCACCCTGTTTTCTCACGTGTGTCTTCCTATTGATCCACGTGTCGTGCAGGCGTGCGTTCTTCGACAAGAGAATCTCTCAGGAGGTCAGCGGCGACACCCTCGGCGATGTAAGTGGACCCAGCCCCCGGGTGTCTGGTCGGTAACCTTGTTATTTCTTTTAGTTTGTTTTCGTTATTTACCTCCGCACAGGAGGTCAGCGGCGACTCCCTCGGCGATGTAAGTGGTTCCTTCACTCTCTCATCTCGTAGTTATTGTTCCAATCAACCTTCACTCCCTGATTTTAAGTTATTGTCTCAAATAAACTTCACTCCCTCATTTCACTCCCGCACCGTCCCCCCCTTCCCCCCCACACGTCCCCTGCTCCTCACCTAGGGGTAATATATATAGTCGGTCAAACACATCGTGCGCCCTTCCTCGTTCCCTCTTTTCCCCCCCTCTTCCCGCTCTCCTCACATCAGGAGTTCAAGGGGTACGTGCTCAAGATCAAGGGAGGGTGCGACAAGGACGGTCAATTCCGTCATTCGACCTTGCTCATTCCCTCTTCCTTGCTCGTATCGTGCGTCCTTGCTCATTCCCTCTTTGCTCACGTTCAGGAGTTCAAGGGGTACGTCTTTAAGATCAAGGGAGGGTGCGACAAGGAGGGTTTCCCCATGAAGCAAGGTGTTCTCACACCCGGCCGCGTCCAAATCCTCATGCACAGGGGTAAGTTCTGATTCCAGCCTACACATGTGAGGGTGATTCCAGTTTTTGCCCGTAACGCGAAGTCGTTTCCCCCTGAAGCAAGGTGTTCGTACACCCGGCAGCGTCCAAATCCTCATTCACAGGGGTAATCTCCGATCCTAGTCCACGTGTATGCGGGTAGTTCAGTTTTCCTCTTATCCTTCAACGGGTACTTCTGATCGTTTCTTTATGAAGCAAAGATCGAACCACCACCGTTGCACTCTAGCTGTCTCTGCTACACGCACCCCCTCGTTTAAGCAACATTCTTCGCTATACCTTACCCTCTCGTCTCCCTTTCCCCCCTCCCACAACCCCCCTCAAAGTTGCTCTGATGCAATTTGTTGACTCAAATCACCCCCCTCCTTTCCCTCTTCCCTCCTCCCCTTTCCCCCCCCTTCCTCCCTTACCCCATCCCCCAACGCCCTCACCCGCCATTCGTTTCCGCCCTTCGCCTGCCTCTTCCCGCCTTTGCCTGCCTCTTCCGCCCTCTCCCCGATCAGGCGTGCCCTGCTTCCGCGGCCACGGCCGGCGCAACGGGGAGCGGCGCAGAAAGTCGGTGCGCGGGTGCATCGTCAGCCAGGACCTGTCCGTGCTGAACCTGGTCATCGTCAAGCAGGGTGAGTTGTTCGTACGCCCTTTTTTCATTGGGGATCTTTGTTTTGTACACATGTGAGTCAGCCAGGAACTACCTGTGCTGAACCTGGTCATCGTCAAGCAGGGTAAGTTGCGCGGACGCCCTGTTTGTTAATCGGGGATTCTAGCTTTGTACACATATGAAGTCAGCCAGAACCTGTCAGTGCTGAACCTAGTCAGGCTAAGTTGTTCCTATGCCCTAAAAATTTGTGGGATTTAACATTTGAAGGAAGCCTTCTCCCTCTCCACACACCCCCACATCCTCCCCCCCTCTCCCCCCCTCACACGCACTCCATCCTCTCCCCCCGCCCCCCCCCATCAGGCGACAACCATCTCCCCGGTCTGACGGACACTGAGAAGCCGCGCATGCGCGGACCCAAGAGGGCGTCCAAGATCCGAAAGCTGTTCGCTCTGAGCAAGGAGGACGATGTGACCAAGTATGTCAACACGTACCGCCGCAAGTACACCACTGCCAAGGGTACGTATATCGGATTCTTATTCTAACGGGGATGAGTGTGACCCTCCTGTTCGCGCTGAGCAAGGAGGATGATGTGACCAAGTAGGTCAATGCAAACCGCCGCAAGTACACCACCGCCAAGGGTACGTATAACGAGTCAGGGATGTTTTGTGACTGTAATGGGGACAAGTTGTGATTGTGACGGGGATGTGTGCCAAAATAGTGGGAGACTGGGAGAGGAGTGGGTGAGTGTAATGAGCATGATACTCGCATTGTAGATCAGAGGACAATTTGAGCATGTAGTAAGAGCAGGAGACACCTTGGAGGCTCCTTCAGCCCTCCTTCTCCCCTCCCCTCCCCTCCCCGCCTCTCTTTTCCCCCTCTTCCGCACCCCCGCCCCTCCCAGGCAAGAAGAGCAAGGGACCCAACATCCAGCGCCAGGTGACACCACTGACGCTGCAGCGCAAGCTCTGTTAACCCCCGTCTCCACCCCTGTTTCTCCCTCGTCCTTCCTCCCAACCCCTTCCCCTTATTCAGGCAAGAAGAAGAGCAAGGGCCCCAACATTCAGCTGGTGACCCCCCTGAAGCTGCAACGCTAACTCTCCTATCCACCCATGTCCACGCCTGTTTTCCCTCTTCTCCCCCCCCTCTCCAGGCAAGAAGAAGAGCAAGGGCCCCAACATCCAGCGGCTGGTGACCCCCCTGAAGCTGCAGCGCAAGCGCGCGCGCCTGGCAGAGAAGAAGCAGCGCGTCGCCAAGGCCAAGTCCGCCGCCGCCGACTACCAGAAGCTGCTGGCGCTGCGCATCAAGGAGCAGAGGGAGAGGCGGTCGGAATCGCTCGCGAAGAAGAGGGCTTCCCGGGCGTCGCAGGCCAAGCCGGCTACCGCGCCTGCTGCCAAGGAGTAGAGAGGTTGACAGGATGGGAATTGAAAATGACTAGCCGGGCCATAGGGTATGGTTGGCAATGCTGCTTGTTGGTGCTTCTTTGTGTGAATTAGAAATGCAATTTGCAATGTAACGGAAGAAGTATACGAGATTAATCCTTAGCGACCCTTCCCTCGGTAAGGATTTGTCTAGGTCTGTTATCTAACTTACTCAAACCGTCTTGAAAATCGAATCGATCGCTCTGAACCGTAGGAATCAACCCCCCCAGTTTATCATGCCTCGCATCCTCGCACACTTGACCTTGCCGGATTCTGTGTGAATCCTAGATTTCCGCGTGTTGACGCGAATTTATTCGGAAATCCGTTGGTCTCCCAGCTCTGTTTCTCGCTAAGAAATGTCCTGTGAAGAATGTAGTTCGTGATCGGGTTACCCGAGTGACAATTTCGCCTTCTAGCTTCGCCACTTCGCGTGGGTCGCGATGGAGCTGTCATGGCGGAACCTCTTAATCTTCTCCGCCGTCGCGCGACTGCTCATGATAGTCTTCGGCGAGTGGGAAGACGCGAATTTAGAGGTTAAATACACGGATGTAGACTATTTGGTATTCACCGACGCGGCTCGGCTGGTTACCCTAGGTCGTTCGCCGTTTGAGCGTTACACGTACCGCTATTCGCCGCTGCTCGCGTGGATCCTCGTGCCGAATGTCCTGGTTCACCAGCTCTGGGGAAAGCTGCTGTTTTCGGCAGCGGGTAAGTTGATATGGGGAGGTCTGCCTTATAAAATAGTTGCGAATGGTTAATCTTCTCTTTTCAGCGGCTGTTGCGTCAGATGAAGCTGGTGAGCCTGGGGCCCTTGACCAGGTATTTGTCAAGCCTCGGTCAGGCATTCATCTGACATTCAGTCAGGCCTTCCGTCACCGAATTCATTCACGGATTCAATCAAGCATTCTGTCAGACGTTCGGTTTGACTGTGAATCATAGATTCACGCATTTCGTCAAAAGTCCAGACAGGTTTCCCTTCAGGCATTTAGTTACCCATTCTCTTCAGGTATTGAGTCAGGGATTTAGCCAAGAACCCTGTGAAGCATTCCCTCGGAATTCTGTCAAATATTCAGTCAGGCGTTCCCTCTCCTGGTTTCCCGTCCTCTGCCAGATCTGCTAGTGGGCCATCAGATTCGATCACTGCTGCTCCTACGTGGCATCTCTGACCGCGTGGCAATCCTGTGTGCTGCCACGTGGCTCTTCAACCCCTTCACAGTCACCATCGCTACACGTGGCAACTGTGACGCCCTTGCTGCTGCTCTCATTCTCCAAGTGCTGCTGGGACTGCTGCAGGGTATGTGTTTTCTGGGAAGGAAATTGTTCAAGAATTGGAAGATTTCATCCTTTTATTGCTGCCTGGAATAGTGCAGGGATTTCTGTAAGATAAATTGTACAGACGAGCATTGCAATCCTTTCAACACATTGTCATCTTTTTAATCCATCTCATCTTCGGTCCCCTTCCCCTTCTCCTCCCGTCTCCCGTCTCCCCGCCCCTGGTTCTCCATTCCTGTCTCCCCTCGTCTGTCTGTCTTCCCGCTCCTGCCTCCCCATTCCTGGCTCCCCAACCCTGGCTCGTTGTTTTCTTCCCCAAGCAGGCCATATCACATCTGCTGCCTTTTGGTTCGGCATCGTGGTGCATTTCCGAGTCTACCCGATAATTTACGCTCTGCCCTTCGTCCTGTACCTCTTCCACACCTATCCGCTTCGAAGCATCTCACAACATGACGATCCCAGTGACAGCAGCGGTGCTACAGCTACGAAGCAACCTACAAACGGCAGTAGCTCCAAGAGCGCCAGCTCACCACCCACTTCTGCCATCTCTGCTACAGCTGCCGCTACAGCCAGCTCAAAGTCAGGACAAAAATCAGCTACAGGTGCTGCTACAGCGAAGACCAAGTCAGGACAACAAATCTCATCTGCAGCTACTGCTACAGCCAGCTCACTGGCTCATGTTGTTAAGGGCCTTCTGTTGCCGGTAGAGTTCGGTGCGGTTTCGGGTGGCACTTTTGTCCTCGTTACAGCGTTGTGCTGGAGACTGTACGGGGATCAGTTTCTTAACGAGTCGCTACTGTACCATGCGTCTCGGTCCGACCATCGCCACAACTTCTCAACTCACTTTTATGCAATATACCTGGTAAGCATCCTTCAAATGTTCTCACCGTCAGTTTGTTTGGGGCGTTATGTCATGCCATATTGCCCTCATGGCATTACTACTGTGCTCAATCTCATGTAATGTATTTAGTATGCCATGTCTATGGTGCAGCGGTGTCTCTCTTAGGGCTCAATAGTGCCTGCATTCTATATAAACTTCATTTTCCATGGAGATCTCCTCTTTCTGCTCCGCTCTCTGCTTCCTGCCAGATGACCAATCAGCAAGCGCCTTCTGTCACGAGCCGAATTCTCTCCTTCCTGCCACAGCTACTGCTGCAGCTCACCTTCTCCTTCAAGTTCTATCACGACCTCCCCTTCTGCCTCTTCGCACAGACCTTTGCCTTCGTGGCCTTTAATAAGGTACGTAGGTTTGGCGCCTGAGTAGGGAAAACGAGATTGGTGCAGCTTGCCTTCTCTTCCACAACCTCCTGTTCTGCCTCTTTGCACAGGTGTTTGCCATCATGTCCTTTGATAAGGTACATGTGTTATGCAGTTACCTTTGTGGCGCTCAATAAGGTACATTTGATGGGCGCCTGACAATGGCAAAGAAGACTGCGGCGGCTCACATTCTCCCTCAAGCTCTTGCAATACTTCTCATATGGCAAATCCGTTTAGCTTATTGGTGTTCATTAAGGTAACATTTCTTACAATCATCCACTTTTGCATCAAGTCTCGGTAATGTCTCCTGCTCCTTCATTCGGTTGTTGAAACAACGTCATTTGCCGCTTGAACGCCATCTTTTTCTCACTCCCCTCTTCTCTCCCTTCTCCACACCCATTTTCCCCATCTGGGTGATTATGCCGTACTCAGTATCCTCTGGTGTTTCCTTCGTGCTCAGCATTCTATCCTTGCCTCAAAACCGATTGTGTGATCTTTCCTCCTTTACTCATTTCCCATGCGCTCACCTCTCCTTCCTTCCCCTATTCCACTTCCACCTCTATATTTCCCCCTATTCCACTTCCACCTCTATATTTCCCCCTATTCCACTTCCACCTCTATATTTCCCCCTATTCCACTTCCACCTCTATCTCCCCCCCTTTCCGGATTCTCCTTTATATTTCCCCTTTTCCGGTTCCACCTTTCTCCTCTCCTCTTCCCCCTTCCCTCTTTCCCCCTTCCCGCGTCCCCCTACCCTTGTCCCCCTTCTCTTTTTTTCTTTCCCAGGTAATAACCTCACAGTACTTTGTCTGGTTCCTCTTCCTCCGCCCCCTCATCCCTTCCTTCCAATCCCCCCCCCCCCCCCCCCCTTCCTTCCCTTCCTTATTCCCTTTCCCCCCTCCTGTTTCCCCCCCTTTCCCAGGTGATAACCTCACAGTACTTTGTCTGGTTCCTCTTCCTCCTTCCCCTCATCCTCCCCTTCACCTCGCTCCGCCTCCAGAGCTACGGCGGATTTTGTCTTGTTCTGTGGCTTGCCGGCCAATCGTACTGGCTCTGGTGGGCGTATTACCTCGAGTTTGGGGGGTATTCTTGCATGCTGCCCCTTTGGGTTGCTGGTATTGTGTTCCTTTCCGCAAATGTGGTTATTTTGGCTTGCTTTATACTGTACCATACGTTTACTTGGTACGTGCCTGCTAATGTTTCTATACAGAAAGAGAAGCTGAGCTGATTGAAGCCTCCATTGAGTTCTGCATTCTCATCTGTATTACGGTACTATGCCGGTAACTTATAACTTTCATACCCTGTTGCAACATCAAACACAAACTCACAGGCTTCATGAATCTCTTACTGCCTGTGGTACAGTATGCCTCTCTCCTTAGCAGCCAGGCTTAGTGAACAGGCAAACAAAATCAAAAGAGTGAGGCCTAGTCACGAGTTTAGCCCGAGCAGGAAACAAATAGCCAGGGACAACCGTCATCACCCAAATATAAGACAGTGTTGAATAATAGACAGGGGTTGTCTATTATACGGGTGTCTCTTATAGACGGGGTAGCCTCATTATTAAACACCTATTTGTGTGTAGGAGCAAATGGCAAATGTATAACGAAGAAGTATCTTCTAAACGGATTTTTGTCCATTTATAAGACTGATTTTTATGGCAAATGTATGAGATAAGACATACATGTCTTATATCCGGACGATGACGGAATGTTGGGTAGAGCTAGATGTAGTTGCTTCAATCACTATTTTCTATTCCGGTTTTAGATTGGGTGCTATGAGTTGTACAATGACAGAGTGCGCAGAAATTATAATTTTAAACACACATGTAGTGTTTTTTAAAATTGTGTATTGTGAAAGCGAAGCTGCTTATACTGCACAATTGGCATCGTCGAAGCGCGCTAAACGCCCTTCTCCAACTACAAAAACCGTGGGTTGGAGCTCATTTCCCTCCACCCACGTTTCTCAATTTTCAAACGGCTCACTCAACATTCCCACCACCCACCCCAGTGTAAACCGCCTTGCTAATGCCACTTGGATAGGGTACATAATAGCTAGTATTATTAGTCCGCACTAGCTTATGTCGAACGATGATGCAAATGTTGTAATACGCCATTTGTAATGAGAACGATGTCAATTGATAATAAAGAAAGCAAGCTTTCTCAATTGCTATATGACAGAAGTGATTACAACCGCTGGTCAGATAATGAAGCCTAGGATGGATATAGCGAAAAGGGCTAGATAGGCGAAGTACACGGGGTCGCGATGGTTGGGTGCTGGTTTAGTGCCAAGCCCAAAAGTGGTGCGAGGTACGTTCGAGATGTTGGGCTGAGAAAAGCCCTTAGGATCTTTTCAAGGCTAGAACCCTCGATGGAAATGTTGCATTGCGGAAGCGTTTTAATGATGAATTGTTGAACCACCTTTCGCTGGTATGTGAGAGCAAGTTAGATTGATTATAGAAAAGTAATACAAGCTTTTACAGGATTACAAGAAATATGAAAGGGTGCAACTAATCGCCGTTTTACAGTTGCTGTTGCGGTTCGATACAGTGACGACTCAGGCAACTGCTCGGTATCGAGTCAGTTGTTTGTCCTTGCTGTCGCTGACCTTTGACCTTCGCGTAACTTCCAACAGTTTACCAGCCTCCGATGGTTGACTCGCCGTTGATTCGTTGCTATTTGCTTCGTTTATAGTTCAATGTTCCGACACATCAGAAGCGTTAAGTTAATTGTTTCCAACACGAGAGGCGAAGTCGTCGGACCGAGCCTGGTCGTCCGAAAGTTGAGTTGAGTTAAGTGACCTGGTAAGGATTTGGAAAAATTCCTTACATTGTACAATCATTCTCAAATGCCAGCAAAGTGAAGGTTTTTTAGTTACGGCGGAAGAGGTACTTCCGAACCCGCGCTTTTGATGGACCTTCATTTCTACCTGGACACAGTTTCCCAGGCAGAAGAATTTTTGCAGTAAGACAGTACTCGTCTCCACATCCACCCACGTGTCCTGATCTCGTAAGCCCACTGCGCATTTTGTTTGTTAATCCGAAATTGACTAAATCCCTCTCAGCTGGCAAGTGACAAAGAGCATCAACCCTAAACACCTTGCGACGAAACGTGTAGGGTTGATGCCAAAATTAATTCCCTCTTGGCTGACATGTTTGAAGCGGGCATCAACCATAAACACTAAGCAACAAGGTGTTTAGGGTTGATGCCATTCATGATGAAGCCTGGTTCTCACTTTGCGTGAATTTTCTATAGAATGGCATCAACCCTAAACGCCTTGTCGCGTGGTGTTTTAGGGTTGATGCCCTTGAAAATTCGCCACCCGAGAGGGGTTTCGTTTTGTGATTGCTTGCAGAAGTCAACCGTGAAATCAGTGCTTGCGTGACGCCGATTTCTGAGTGAGGGCGCGTTTCTATACCGTGTCAGATATCAAGTCTGCGGCCTTAGTCTCCAATTTGTCTCTTCCGAACTTCCAATCGCCCCAAAAGGCCACTCCCCCCATTTGACGACCGCAGTTTTCCGATCCATCAGCTCAGACAAGCTCTCCGCCATGGTTCCTACGATAACTTCAACTCGTGCAATGTCAAGCTAACCTTTATCAGCTTCAAGATCTAAATACAGATTTTGGGTCTACTCATCAAGGGCTTGATTTCGACACCACTTTATATTAAAACAGAGAACATTGGTTCGTCGTGAATTCCTCTTGTGAAGATCCGTTTCCAGGTTCTTAAACTGCTTTTAAGCTCAAGACATTTAGTTGTTCTAAGGAAGCTATAATGCCCAGGCTTAGCACAAGTCATCATCGAAGCTGGAACCTGGAAAGCAACATAGACACAAGACATGAGACGAGAAAGTACAAGGCAGCTGGACCGCCAAATATTTTTCGCCTATCAATCTTCTCTGCCATTCTTCGACAAGAGACAAGAAATGAAACGTCTCATTACCCGCGGACATGTTTATTACCACCGTCAAGAGCGACTAAATCCGGATCAGCGATGGTTTCTGACAAGACAGGGTATACATCGTGTTTGCAGCAAACGCAAAGTGAAGGACATTTAAAATGGCTCCCGCGAAGAACTACAAGTGCAACACTTTCTGCCTTCCTACATCGTTCACGATTCACGGGAGCTTCACGCTCGTCACAGCAACGGTGACGGATTTAGGGTTTTGCCGCAAAACAGTAACCTGCCCTACCAAGCCACCTTCGCAGGCTTGATTTGTCAACTTTCGTTACCAAACCTAGTTCGACATTCGGACGTGCGTTCGTCCGGCCTAGACGCCAATCAGACGAGTGCTTTGTAGAACGAGTCGCGCAATTCTGAATCTTTGTTGGACGCCAACTAGACGTGTGCATTTTGCGTACAGTATCACGAAAGAAGGCAGACAGCATGGATATGCCCAGGTACCAAATACCGCCTCCTACCTAGTCTGCCCGTGCATGAATAAGCCCCTGCTTTTGTGCTGAAAATTCTCGAAGCCCGCCCTTGAAATCTGCCCGAACGCGAAGCACGAGTTGCGACGCAGCGTAGTTGACCAATTCTCACTCAGCGCGGTTCAAAGTGGCTCTTGTAACCCTTCATCTCGCCGCTAGCTCCCAAGAATCCTGTAATGTTATTTCGCGAACCATGTTTCGCGTCAGCGGGCGCGACGTCGCACCTACCTCGGCCGTACGGTACCTCTCAGCACAGTTTGTTTCCAACGCAGCATCCCCATTTCATCCTTCCTTTCCCAATATCCATCCGTATCGGATCGCCATCTGAGTAGAACGGACGGTCGGAAATCAAGAGCTGGAAAGCGGCGAAAAGCGTTGGGCTAATCGAACCGTCCCTGCGTGCTCTCAGAATTATTGCTCCGTTCTTCCCGTTCCTACCTTTCTCCCGCTTCTTCGTGCCGCTCATCGTGACACGTCCAACGTAATGGAGCCCAAACCAACCCCTTCGAGACCCTTGTCAGCCGATTTTGTGGACATTGGCCTAGAAACTCGTAGAGTTTGTACATTTTGTACGCATCATGGTTTCGTTCACGAAACAGTAGTGTACAGTGCACAATTGTCAAACAATCAAGCCAAGTTGGCGCCAGCTCACTGCCGCCTGCATTTCTGCGACGCAACCAAGCGTCACTCCCTCTCGCCATGCGACGGACAGCACATTTCTGACGACGATCTCCGTCGCCGCCTCGCCTCGCGGCGTACTCGCAGCAAACGGCCAGCTCTTCAGTGATCACTGACGATGCACCAGAGACTACGACGTCGTAGACTCCTAGTCTCGAGATAGCAGTGTTAATTCACACACCTTAGCTACCTTACGTGATTGGCCGCCATATGCGGGCATTCACAAATAACTACTACTACAAGTTGTATTCGAACTCGTAGTAGTCAGTGCTTCGATCTGCGGCTGAACCGTGACACGCGGGTGTGTCATCAGTGTCAGGAATAGAGCATTCAGGTAGTTTCCGCCATTCGCTTGCTGCTCTTCGCCCCCCCGCGAAACCGCTCTTCCGCCATTCACTCCCCCCCTCTCCCCCGACAGCGCAGCATCGAATGTCCTGCTTCGTGTAGATCCCGCCTGTAGCTGCCTCTTTTAGTTCCCGCTAATGCAACTTAGGGGTGGAGTCAAACACTCGTTTTAAGCTCCCTCCCAACTCGTTTCTATCCACAAAGTTACGTAACCCTTCTCATTCTTCAAGGCGCGCCTTTTTTTAAAATTAGAGACTTGACAAACGACATGTGGGTCTGGAATTCTTCGCCGTCCAACCAGCGCGATTCGCGGCAGCAACGATGCTGCGTGCTGCGGCCGCCGCAGTTCTCGCGCGCCGCTGGTCAGCGCGGCCTGCTTTTCTCCGCAGCGCTCGCGCTTGCGTTCGTGGCGGCGTGCCACGTGGACACAGCGGAAGCAGGCGCCTTTAAAGCCACGGACGAGTTCAAGCCGCCATGCGGGCTCATGACAACCCCAGGAGCCAAGGGTAAGCGACGCCGCGCCGCCGACGAGTCAAGAGGCCAAGGGATAATACCGTCGATAACCCTGCTTTCAGCGCTGTCCATGCGGTGGTTTATCGTAACCGCGAGGCGACTCCGGCTTGCAACTCTGATAGTACCAGTATGATTCGTTGAAAGTTCTCGGGGTAGTAGCTGGATCGCGGATTTCACAAAGGGTATGCGGCGGAGAATATAACACAAGCCTAGTGCTCGATCCCCTGGTAGTCTATAGATGGGAACCACTTTGTTTCCTCAGTTCTTTCAATTCCTCCCGCCTTTCTTTGTCTTTCGCCTACTGTCTCCGAATTTTGTCCCCGCTTCCCCCCTCTTCCCCCGCTTCCCCTGCTTCCCCCGCTTCCCCACCTTCCGCCTCCGCAGGCTGGAGGCGATGGAGCGATTGGCACACGTGCTTTGAGGCGCCTCAAGAGTCTTCCCCGCCTTCCCCACCTTCCCCGCTTTCCCCGCCTTTTCCGCCTTCCCCGCCTTTTCCGCCTTTCTCCCCTTCCGCCTCCGCAGGCTGGAGGCGGTGGAGCGATTGGCGCACGTGGGGAGGCAAGACGCGCTTCCTGGGCGTGCCGGGGCGGGGTTTCTTTTTCAGGCGCGCTATTCCTCCGAGGCTTGTTCTTTCCCGTTCCCGTTTTCAGGGTGGAAGCGGTGGAGCGATTGGCGCACGTGGGGCGGTCCGATGCGCTTCCTGGGCGTGCCGGGGCGCGGGCTGCGGAAATGGGTGGACGTCACAATCCCGTGCGGAGTCTCGATCCTGCTCGACGTACCCGATATAAGCGTGAAGACGCTCACCGTCAAAGGCTGGCTCAAGTGAGTCTCGCTGGCTCATCCCCCACTCCCCGTCTCTTTCCCCCACTTTCCCCCATTCCGCTCACCGTTAAGGGCTGGCTCAAGTGAGTCTCGCTGGCCCGTCCCCCGCTCCCCACTCCCCCCTCCCCGGTCCACTCCCGCTCCCCTTCTCTCCCCCCCAATTTCCCACCCTTCCGCTCGCCCTGAACGGCGGGCTCAAGTGAGTCTCGCTGGTTCGGCGGCGGCTCGGGTTTGGGACATACGAAGCAGCCTCGTTACAGAATCTGGATAATAGGAGCGTGCCGGATTGTGCCGGATTGTGCCGGATTGTGCCGGATCGCATCGGATCTGATTGGACTCGTTGCTGTCAACCGCTTCTTAGAGTCAACTCGAGAATCGCAACCCTTCCCCCGTTCCCCCACCCCTCCCCCCCAACCGCCACCTTCCCCCCCCGTCCCTCTCAATTCCCCGTCGCTCCCCAAGATTAGCGTCAACGCGCATTTCGTCGTCGTGATAGCGTGACTGACGGCGGGCGAGTCAAACCAACCCCCCCTTCCCTCCTCGCCCTTCCGCCGACAACAATCCTTTGCTTCGCAGGGTGCCCGTCTCGCCGTCACTCAGCGTTAACGCGCATTGCATTGTGGTGATTCCTTATCTCTCCGCCCCATTCCTCCCTCTTCTCCCCCCACCTTTCCCCCTCCGCAGGGTGCTCGACTCGCCGTCGCTCCCGCGGATCGACGTCAAAGCGCATTTCGTCGTCGTGATGGGCCGGCTAACGGCGGGCGAGCCGAGCCGCCATTTCTCGAGCCGCCTCACCTTCACCCTCTTCCCCGGGAGCCGCAAGCCGTACATGCTGTCGAAACTCGCGCCGGCGGATGCGGCGAACCCGCGTGATCTAGGGCACAAGGCGTTCATCGTGGTACGTTATTGTGGGATGCGGTGAACAGCGGTGGGATGCGGTGAACCGCGGTTGGATGCGGCGAGCCTCGGTGGGATGCGGTAACAGAAGACATAAAAAGTTCAAAGGGGGGGAGCTGCAAGCCGTACATGCTGACGAAGCTCGCGCCGGCGGATGCGGCGAACCCACGCGACCTGGGGCATAAGGCGTTCATCGTGGTACGTGGTGCGGGGGAAGAGAGTGGGGGTGGAAAGGTGGGGCGGAAGGTCCATGTTATCCCGCGGGTAATCGCAAGCCGTACATGCTGACGAAACTCGCGCGCGCGGATGCGGCGAACCCTCGCGACCTGGGTCACAAGGCGCTCATTGCGGTACGTGCGTGGGGGGAGGGGCAGGGGGGTGGGCGGGAAAGGGGGAGGGGAAGGGGCAGTGGGATGGGCGGATATGCTGAACTTACGCGATCTGGGCCACAAGGCGTTCATGGTGGTATGTGGTGGGGTTGGGAGGTGGGCGGGAGAAGACGGGTAGGTGCAATTGCATCGCATGCATGCGTTCATTTCCCTCAGGTGGGCGGCCAGGTGCAATTCCACGGCATGCCGGGCGGGCGGCATTTGGCAATGACGCAATTATTCAAATCCCCTTGTCTCATTTCTATTTTCCCTCAGGTGGGCGGCCAGGCGCAATTCCATGGCATGCCGGGCCGGGCGGCAGTTGGCAGCGAGCAGACACAATTTTTCACGTAACATGATGTTCCATGTCTCACTTCGGATTTCCCTCAGGTGGGCGGTCAGGTGCAATTCCATGGCATGCCGGGCTGGGCGGCAGTTGGCAGCGAGCAGACACAATTTTTCACGTAACATGATGTTCCATGTCTCACTTCGGATTTCCCTCAGGTGGGCGGTCAGGTGCAATTCCATGGCATGCCGGGCCGGGCGGCAGCGACACCCCGACAACCCATTTACCTACACGACTCCATTCAATAGAGGTGTTGTGCTGTCTCATGTTGCTTCTCAGGTGGGCGGGCAGGTGCAATTCCACGGCATGCCGGGAGGCAGCAACACGCCCTCGTGGGTGCGGCTGAGTGAGACGGCCAACGCCGGCCAGCGTTACATTCTCGTGGACGCTGACGTCAGCAAATGGGCGGCGGGCATGACGGTGGCTCTGGCCTCCACCAGTAACAACCTGAACGAGGCGGAACACCACCTGATCGCCTCAGGTGAGGGAGTGTAAAATCAAATCTCCTTACAGGCAGCGAGCGCCATTTACTAACGCCCCTCTCCCCTCTGGCTCTGGCCTCCACCAGTAACAACCTGAACGAGGCAGAACACCATTTGATTGCCTCAGGTGAGGGGTGTTGATTCGATTGCGTATCGGGCTGAGCAGCAGTCGATTTGACCACCTTCGTCCCAATCCTCTCTGGCTCTGGCCTCCACCAGTAATGACCTGAACGAGGCGGAACACCATCAGATTGCCTCACGTGAAAGATAGTGATTTCATTGTGTGAGGTGAGGGATTGCGATGCGATCTCTCCCCCTGTTACTTGTTACAACCACCATCTTTTCCTTGTCTCTTGTGTTTCACGACGAGTTATATATATTTTCCTCCCCTCCCTCGCATTGTCTCACCCGCCCCAACCCTAAACCAGTTGCCGCTGACATCAGCAATCCTGGCGTTTTCCGCATCAACCTGCAGACCCCCCTGAGGCACACCCACCAGGGGGAGGTGTTACCTGACGGGGGCACGGGCACCGTAGGAATCTTCGGGGAAGTTGCGCTGCTGGACCGCCACGTCAGCATCCAGGGGACGAATGAGGCGGCGCCACATCAGCTCGACGGGGGACACTTTATAATCTACATGACCCCAACCAAGCAGACCCTGGAGGGTGTGCAGTTCAAAGGACTCGGAAATCAGGGGACCCTGGGGAAATACCCCGTGCACTTCCATATCTGCGGGCAGAACGGGCAGGATCACGTGGTTCGGAAAAACGCCATCGTGTTTACCAGACAGGTACGGCGAGTGAGAGGTTTGGGAAGCGAGACAGGTATGGGAACTGGCATGCGCATTTCTTTCTTTCAACAAGCTGTTCCCCTCTTCTCTCCCTCTGTTGTTCACATCCCCCTCAACACCCTCTCCCCCACCTTGCCACCTTCCTCCTCCAGCGATCCATGGTGATACACGCGACGGGCAGCATGACCATCGAGGACAACGTAGCATACGAAACCAAGGATCACTGCTACCCGCTCCCTCTGCCCTTCTTTCCACTCCCATTCCCTTCACTTCTTGCCGTCTCCAATCAACCACCAACAGAGGTGCATGGTGATTCACGCCACGGGCAGCATGACGATTGAGGACAGCGTGGCGTACGAGAGCAAGGGTCACTGAGTGAACTGAACACAGCGCTTCTCCTCTTCACCAACATAGCGTCTCATGTGAACTGAACAGCAATCTTCTCTCCTCTTCTGTCTTCTCCTGCAGCGCTGCATGGTGATTCACGCCACGGGCAGCACGACGATAGAAGACAACATAGCGTACAAGACCAAGGCAAGGGGCACTGCTAACTGCTCCATGTGCTCCTTATGCCCTTTCCCCACTCCCCTTCCCTTTCGCCCCCTCTCCCACCCAACGCCAACAGAGGTGCATGGTGATTCACGCCACGGGCAGCATGAGGATTGAAGACAACGTGGCGTACGAGACCAAGGGGCACTGCTATTTGCTGGAGGAGGGAAGCGAGCTGAACAATAACTTCAAGCGCAACCTTGGAATCAACGCCAGAAAAGGTACATCATGACATGATATGATAAGATATGATATGAAAATATTAAGCGATACAATATTATATGATCTGATGAGTTATGATATTAGACGATATGTTATGAAATGACATGATATGATATGATATGATATGATATGATATGATATGATATGATATGATATGATATGATATGATATGATATGATATGATATGATATGATATGATATGATATGATATGATATGATATGATATGATATGATATGATATGATATGATATGATATGATATGATATGATATGATATGATATGATACGATACGATACGATACGATACGATATGATACGATTTTGATAAGTCAAGCCTCTCGTCTCTTGCCCTCCCCTCCTCTTCCCCCACCCCTCCTCCCTATCACGCTCTCTCCGCTAGCTGCAGCAAGCTCGACAAGCAGACGTATCGATAGCGAGAAAGGTCGACAACCTCTGTTTCCCCGTATTCAACCATTCCCAACCACTCCTTTCCCCCCTCTCCCCCCCACCACTGTGCAGTGGAGAAGGTGATTCCCCCCGCCAGCAGCAGCAAGCTGGACAAGCAGACAGGCTGACAGCGAGAGGGACCGACAGCTCGTATTCCTGCTCCCAACCTTTCCCAACCGTTCTCTTTCTCCCACCCTCTCCCTCTCTCATTGCAGTGGAGAAGGTGATTCCCCCCGCCAGCAGCAGCAAGCTGGACAAGCAGACGGACAAACAGCCCACCACGTTCTGGCTCGGCACCCCCCACAGCAACTTCATTGATAACGTGGCTGCTGGCTCGGAAGATTCTGGGTGAGTGGTACAGTACATAATACTACATAATATATATATATATATTTATATATATGTACTTACATGTTATGAAACATTGTGGCACTGTAGACAGCCCACCACGTTTTGGCTCAACACACCCCGCAGCAACTTCATTGACAACGTGGCTGCTGGCTCGGAGGATTCTGGGTGAGCACTACAGTAAATGGAGTTACCATTCCCCTTGTCTGTCTGTCTGTCTGTCTGTCTGTCTGTCTGTTTGTTTGTTTGTTTGTTTGTTTGTTCTTTTAACCAGTTTTGAGTCTCTCTCTCTCTTGATCTCGTCCTCCTCCCACATCCCCTTCCGAGTTGACTTTTGAGTCGAGTCAAAAGTCTACCGCAGTCTCTCTATCTCTTGATCTCCCTTCCTCCCACCTCCCCTTCCCTCCTCCCCTCCTGCAACCCCACAGCTTCTGGCTGGAGGCAACGCTGTGCATGCGATGAGTGTCCCGCCTGTTGCCTGCCATCGGAGCCATCAACCCCCTCGCTTACAACTGGGGGGAGAGTACTCACTGGGGAACGTCGCTCTGCCTTGATCTCGTCCTCCTCACACAAGCCTCTCGTCTTCCCCTCCTTCCTCACCTGCTCCCATACCCCGCAGATTCTGGCTAGAGGCCACCCCATACATGCGGGGTGTGTCGCGCCTGCTGCCTGCGATCGGAGCCATGAACCCCCTCGCGTACAACTGGGGCGAGTACTCGGGGAACGTTGCTCACAGCAACGTGTTTGGGTTTCGCACGTACCCTCACGGCTCGTATGCGCGCTACCCTGTGTATGACGAAGACCCTGCTCCCTTGAAGGACTTTCTGATCTACCGCAACAAAGTGGGGTGAGTGAGTGAGTGAGTGAGTGAGGGAGTGAGGGAGTGAATGAGTGCGTGGGAACCTGGATTTAGGGTCACGACCTTCCTCTCCTCACTCTCCCTCCCTCCATCCCTCCCTCCCTCTCGTGTTTTGAGTCGACTCAGAACCTTCCTGTCGTCACTCTCCTCTCTCCTCTTACTTCCTCTCCTCTCCTCTCCTCACCTCTCCTCTTCTCTCCTCTCCTCTCTTTTTCTCACCTCTCCTCTCCCCTCCTCTCTTCTCCTCTCCTCTCCTCTCCCCTTCTCACCTCTCCTCTCCCCTCCCTCCTCTCCTCTCCCCTCCCTCCTCTCCTCTCACCCCCCTCCTCTCCTTTCCAGAATGTTCTTTTTCAACAGCGAGCGCATCGTGGTGCAGAACGGAATCTTCCTGGAAAACGCCATCGGCATAGACCTGAGCCGCAACGTGAAGCTCTCAGCCTCTGGCTGCAAGTTCATCGCTCGGGCCGCTGCTGCTGCTGCTGCTGCTGCTGCTACCACCACTGCTGCTGCTGGTGGTGCTACCACCACTGGTGCTACTACCAAGTTTATGGGAAGCGCCAGCACCAGCGGCAGCAATGGTATCAGAACGCTCAGCAGCAGCACAGCTTCTGGAGCCGATTTTGACGCAGAGTTGGCTTTAATGAAAGGCCCGACCACACTCACCCAACCCGACAGCCTCTCCCTTGCTCTCGGGCCACTGGACGAGGTGTATGGTGGTGCTGGTACGTGCTGCTCTGCTCTACAAGCTGTTCTTACACCTGTTGTTATAGCTGGGTTTGATTTGATGCGGGGTTGGCGTTGATAAAAGGCCCGACCACACTCACTCAACCCGACAGCCTCTCCCTTGCTCTCGGGCCACTGGACGACGTGTATGGTGGTGCTGGTGAGTCACATCACATCAACCACCCTCACTCAACCTGCCAGTCTACCCTTGCTCTCGGGCCACTGGGAGGGTTGGCGATGCACAGTGTTCCTGACTGTATGTGATTCCTGTGTCCCCCACCCACTACCGCAGGAGTGGACTTCACTTGACCAGAGGAGCAGCTGTTTCAAGAGCTCAAGAGCAAGCCGGGCGTGTTGTATCTTGGCACTCTTTTCACCTTTGGTGTGCGGTGCTATGCGGTGCCCTGTGGTGCTCTATTGTGTGCAGGAGTGGACTTCACTTAGCCAGAGGAGCAGCTGTTTCAAGAGCTCAAGAGCAAGCCGGGCGCGCTGGCAGGCACGAGTGAAGCAGCAGCAGCAGCAGCAGCAACAGCAGCAGAGGGTGATAGGTGGCTGTAACTGCATGTGGCCCTGTCTCTGTCTCCCCACCCACCACTGCAGGTGCGGATTTCACTCGGCCAGAAGAAGAGTTATTTAAGGAGCTCAAGAGCAAGCCGGGAGCGCTGGCTCGGGTGAAGCAGCAACAGAGGGTGGGGCCGTTGCAGCGGGTGATAGGGGACGGCAAGACAGGCAGTTTTGCCTCGCCTGTGGGGATTGTCGTCAGCCAGTGCAACCCGTCCGACCCTCCAGGGCCCAACTCGATCCAGGATTCATTGTGAGTTGACTCTCTTGACTCTGTTTGACTTAGTTGACTTGGGGGTGTGAAACTTGTTTTGAGTCGCCTGTGCGGATTGTGGTCAGCCAGTGCAACCCTTCAGACCGCCCGGGGCCCAACTCGATCCAGGATTCCTTGTGAGTTGCTTTATTGTTATCTCTTGTTGACTCGCTTGACTTTGTTGACTCGCTTGACTTTGTCGACTCGCTTGACTATGGCACCACTGACGATGCTGGCTTTGCTGTGATTCTCACACTGCCCTGCACACTTGCAAGTGTTGCAATCCATTTGATCCGTTCCCTTTCTCATCTCCTTCCCTCCCCCCCAGCATCTCAAACTATGGCGCCACAGACGATGCCAGCTTTGCTCTGCTGTCCCCAGGCTATCACACATTGGCACTCCATGAACCCGTTTCCTTCCAATCCTGATCTGCCCCCTTCTCTCTCCCCTCACCTCTCTCCCTCCCCTGACGATCCCAGCTTCTCAAACTATGGCGCCACAGACGATGCCAGCTATGCCGTGCTCTGCTGCTCACACGGTCATGCACATTGGCACGTGTTGTTGCAAGCCATTTGATCCGTTCCCTCGCATCTCCTCCCCTCCCCTCCCCCTCTCTCCCCCCAGCTTCTCAAGCTATGGCGCCACAGACGATGCCAGCTTTGCCGTGCTGCTCACAGCCAACCATGCGGGGGGGTACTGGAACAGTGCTTTCTACGTCAAGGTGAGCCTAGGTCGGGCTAGGTGAGGCTGGGTGAGGCTGGGTGAGGCTGGGTGAGGCTGGGTGAGGCTGGTCAAAGGACAGTCAACCACGCAGGGAGGACTGGAACAGTGCTTCTACGTCAAGGTGAGGCAATGAAATGAGTGTTCAACTAGGACTGTCAGCATCACTATCTTTCTTATACTTCAAGCATCCAAAAACTCTACGCAGCATCGCAACAGTCAGTCTTGCTGTGCTTCACTTTTGAATCAACTTAAAAGAAGGAGTGTTTTGAGACATCTCAAAACACTCCTTCTTTCACGTGGCTTTGCTTCACTTTTGAATCAACTTAAAAAGTCGCCAGTTCTCGCCCCATAATGAGGCGACAATCCGTCATGTCTCACTTAATCTTGCCCCATACATCCTTCCCTCCACACCCTCTCACCGCCCACCCCACAACAGGGCCTAACCTCCGGCTCTGGGACCATTAAGTTCTGGGCCACTCCTAACCCCTGCAAACCATGTGCCACTCACTCCCACCATGTCCAAAACTCTAGCATCTGTGGAAAACTCCTCTTCCCACCCTCTTACCGCCCACCCTACCCCACAACAGGGCCTAACATTTGGTTCTGGAACCAACAAGTTCTGGGCCACTCCGAACCCCGTAAGCAATAAACACATCCGTTTTCTATCATGCTTGAGTCTTTTGAGACGTCTCAACAGTCAATAAACACGTCTAACACTTATCATCCATGAGATGATCTTTCCATGCCACACATATTTTTTTTTCTGCCCATGTTACTGGTCAGTTATTGATTGTTGCATTTCATTTTATTTCCTTTCTGAGAAAAATATTCAAAGCACCGAGCCTAAGGTTGCCCTTATACGCATCATATATATACAGTACCTCACCTATGTTTTCCTCAAAACACTTGTTTCCCCGTTATAATCACGTGCAGCCAGCAGGCACGCCGCCCCGAGGAGGTCTGGTGGTGCGATTCCACGCCATCCCAGTTGACTTTTGAGTCGACTCAAAAGTCTACTCGATTCCACGCCATCCGGGATCTCGATGGATCTCTCTACGCCATCCAGTGTGCCTCATCTCATATATGACCTCTCTGCCCCCCTATCCCCCTCCAACCCACCTTTCCTTCTCATCAGTCCTCGGGCACGCCGCCCCGGGGGGGTCTGGTGGCGCGCTTCTACGCCATCCGGGATCTCGACGGGTCGCTCCTCGGCCAATCAGGCTACGCCGTTGCCAACTACGATCCGATCCTGCCGCCCGCCGCCGTCCGGGCGGCAAAGTGCTCGTTGGACAGCGCACAGAACGTGTATGCGTGCACGGACGTGTGCTATCGGTCGGTGGGGATTGGATACCACGAGTGGGGGGTGCGACCCAACGGCATGGCTGGGCTTCCGGCTTACGTGCTGAGACCATACAGGTGCGTAGATGGTGTGCGTGCGGTTGACAAGAGAAAGAGAGAGGGCAGAGCGCAGAGCGCAGAGAGCAGAGCGCAGAGAGCAGAGCGCAGAGAGCAGAGCGCACAGTACGTGTATGCATGCCCAACAACTTGCTGTCCTATGTTCTAACCCCACAACCCCTCTTCCCTGCCCCTCCTCTCCCCCTGCTTGGTGTCCAGTTGTGTCGTCGTGACAAGGCAAGGCTAAAAGATGGGGCTGTGTTCACGGTCACGGACTACGGCACGTGTGTTTTGAGTCGACTCAAAACACAGATGGGGCTGTGTTCACGGTCACGGACTACGGCACGTGTGTTTTGAGTCGACTCAAAACACAGATGGGGCTGTGTTCACGGTCACGGACTACGGCACGTGTGTTTTGAGTCGACTCAAAACACAGATGGGGCTGTGTTCACGGTCACGGACTACGGCACGTGTGTTTTGAGTCGACTCAAAACACAGATGGGGCTGTGTTCACGGTCACGGACTACGGCACGTGTGTTTTGAGTCGACTCAAAGCACAGATGGGGCTGTGTTCACGGACTACGGCACGGACAACGCCCAACCCCAACAGCGCTTGAGGGACCGTCACAGCTCCTTCTCACCGCACCCCACACCTCGTTTCCCCCCTCTTCCCCCCCTCCTCTCCCCCTTCTGCTGTGCCCAGTTATGTGGTGGTAACCAGGCTAGAGGACGGTGCTGTGTTCACGGACTATGGCACCGACAATGACAACCCCAACAACGGCCCGGCCGTGCCAACCAAGAAAGTCCGGCGCTACCTCACATCCTCTCTCCTCGCTGGATACACCTACAGCATGAAAATCGTGCCCGCGCCCACCAACCCGCTGTTCTACCCCGAGGGGGTCTTTGTGCGGTCGTACGACCAGGAGGGGTGTGCGGGGGCGGTGACGATCATCCTGGAGCCCAAGGACGCCAACACACAATGGGTCACCAGCATTCCCACCTTGTGAGTAGACCTGCTCACCACCCGCTGCGCCCACCACCCGCTGCGCCCACCACCCGCTGCGCCCCCCAACCAGCTGTTTTACCCCGAGGGGGTCTTTGTGCGGTCGTACGACCAGGAGGGGTGTGCGGGGGCTGTTACGATCATATTGGAGCCGAAAGACGCCAACACACAATGGGTCACCAGCATTCCCACCTTGTGAGTGGGGGCTGTTACGATCATTCTTGAGCTGAAGGATTCTTTGGGGGGGGAGGGTTGGTTTTTGAGTCGACTCAAAAACCACCTCAAGGCCGTTGCGATCATTCTTGAGCTGAAGGATTCACAGGGAGGGGGGGGGGGAGGAGGGAAGGGCTTGATGTGCTCAATGTGAGTATGACGATCAGGAGGGGTGTGCAGTGCGGGGGCTGTTACGATAATTCTCGAGCCGAAAGACTCGATGATTCAATGGGTTACCAGCATTCCCACCAGGTGAGTCCAGGGGGGAGGGGGGAAGGGAAGGGCTTGACGTGCTCAATGTGAGTACGACGATCAGGAGGGGTGCGCAGTGCAGGGGCTGTTACGATAATTCTCGAGCCGAAAGACTCGATGATTCAATGGGTTACCAGCATTCCCACTAGGTGAGTCCAGGGGGGGGGTCGTGTTTTGAGTCGACTCAAAACACGAGTCCAGGGGGGGGGGGGGTGTTCAAAACACGAGTCCAGGGGGGGGGGGGGTGTTCAAAACACGAGTCCAGGGGGGGGGGGGGGGTGTTCAAAACACGAGTCCAGGGGGGGTCTCGGAGGCGTCTCAAGTTTCTTTGAGGCTCCTCAAAGACCAACTCGGATATGCTTTCTCACATACTAGCACTTCCACCATGGTTGGTTGTGAGGCAGAGAGCAGGCGAGTGGGTTTTGATACAAGGCGAGCGGGTTTTGATACAAGGCGAGCGGGTTTTGATACAAGGCGAGCGGGTTTTGATACAAGGCGAGCGGGTTTTGATACAAGGCGAGCGGGTTTTGATACAAGGCGAGCGGGTTTTGATGCAAGGCGAGCGGGTTTTGATGCAAGGCGAGCGGGTTTTGATGCAAGGCGAGCGGGTTTTGATGCAAGGTGAGCGGGTTTTGATGCAAGGCGAGCGGGTTTTGATGCAAGGCGAGCGGGTTTTGATGCAAGGCGAGCGGGTTTTGATACAAGGCGAGCGGGTTTTGATACAAGGCGAACGGGTTTTGATACAAGGCGAGCGGGTTTTGATACAAGGCGAGCGGGTTTTGATACAAGGCGAGCGGGTTTTGATACAAGGCGAGCGGGTTTTGATACAAGGCGAGCGGGTTTTGATACAAGGCGAGCGGGTTTTGATACAAGGCGTGCGGGTTTTGATACAAGGCGAGCGGGTTTTGATACAAGGCGAGCGGGTTTTGATACAAGGCGAGTGGGTTTTGATACACTCATACCAGTGCATTAAAGGACAAGCCAAGCTGCCGATCCGCATAGGGGAGCGCAAAGCAGCTCTGGTGTATTCTAAGGTGACTTGAAATACATTGTCTCCTCTCCACTTCCCCCCTTTCCCCCTTTCCCCTTTCTCTTGTTCCCCCCATTTCTGCCTTTCCCCCCCTGTTGTGCCCCATTCACAGCCCATGCTCCAATCAGAACAGCAGCATGAGCTACAAGCAGTACCAATGCATCGACGGACAGGCCAAGCTGGCAATCCTGATAGGGGAGAACAGCCACGGCAATCATGCCATTGTCAACGCCACTTCTTCTGCCAGCCAGGCGTGCACAGAAGACACGTGAGTTCAACCAATGGTTTCTTTTCTTTCTTTCTTTCTTTCTTCCTTTCTTTTCTTTCTTTTACTTTTTTCAAATAACAGGTGGGGGTGGGTGGGTGGGGAGGGGGGTTGCTCGCATGTGCTTGTCAAGATTCCTTCCCATTACATACATGTGACTTATGTTGACTGCTCTGCCTCCCTCTTCGACTCCACGTCCCCCTTGTCCATGTGTCTCTCTTCAAAACCTGAACTCTCTCTTGCCCTTCCACTCCCCCTCTGTACCCACTGCTTCTCCCACAGGCTTTATTCCCACCACGACTGCCACCACACCCTCCTCCACTCCCCATGCCTTCCCCTACTCTCCTGTCCATGTCTCACTCAAAGCTTGAATTCTCTTCCCTCCACTCCCCATGCTTCCATTGTTTCTCCCACAGGCCTTGTTCCACCACGACCGCCACCACACCCTCCTCCACTCCCCAGGCCTCCCCCTACTCCTCCGACCCTCTCACTCCCATGTCCACCTCCCCTCTGCCTTTCGCCCCCGCTCGCACAACGGCCGGCAACATCGACCCTTTCTATGACCCCGCGTTCTACGCTCCCTTGTAGTTCTTGTCCTGCCAGCTTCTTCAACCAGGTTTCTACTAACATGTCTTTTCCAAGTCGGGAACAAATTTCGTGTGAAATAGACCAAGTCTAGATCTGCTGATAGAAGTTGCGCATTTTTTTTCAAATATTGCATAGGATGGTGGCTTGTTGGACTAATCCTGATCATACTTGTTCGTGGATCATTGAGTTGGTTGATCTGGTTGAGATATTTTGGTTGAGCATATACACAATACTTCAAACAGAATCGATTTCGGCTCATTTATATGCATTCTCCTATACGTGGGTTTTCAGCCTGATACAGATTACAGCGCAGCATCTGGACGCTCTGCGGGGTTGTGTCAAGAATGCCACGCTGGCAATCTCTTTCTTGGCCTGATAGCTCTTTCTCCATGCAGCCCCCAGGTTTTGTGCTCTTAGCTCCATATCCATACCTCCTTTTTGGCTGACGTGTCGAAGTCTGACTGATCGAGCCCAGACGCACCATGCCCCAAGACCTGCGTGGATTTGGAGGGGCTTTCAGCCTTCACCGGTCAGCCACGGCGTCGGATGAGTGTAACCGTTCAGTCATACGATATTAAATCCTGGCCGTTGTTTTCTTTTCCTCACAAGCGGAGTCTAGACACCGCCCAACTTACCCATTTTCAGGTGGTTTTTGAAACTTGACGAACTACTTTTGCCGACTCGCCGTTTTAGGAACTCGATCAGGCGGTCGTTCTTCTGCAGCCTTTTCTTTGGCTTCAAATACTCCTGTCAGGTCCTTTCACCTAGGACTGATCTAGCCATAGAACATGGCTCTCCTTGCTCGCGCTTCCGCGATGGCCGTCGCAGAACTCGCAGTAGCCACGCGACTAACAGCGACGTCGCCGTGCGAAAGCTTATCTAGCGTCGCCTCTTTCGCTCCGACTCGCTGGGTTGCCGCTACTTCCGCCTCGCGGCAACCACAAACGAGCCGGGCCACCCGATTGGTCGTCCGTGCAGAGACTGAGAGCAAGGGCTTGACCCGAGAGGGAGTGCTCCAGGTACTTGTTTACTGCTGAGTCGAACGGCGATGACTTCTTTATATATTTCTATTTTGGGTGCGTTTTGATCAAGTTTTAGTGTTCTGGTGCAATGTACCGAGTTTGCGTCATGGAGAAACAGGGACGGTCCTCTACTTGATGACGGTAGTTAGTGGGTATTTAGTGAGTCGTCTTTGTTGCCGATACTTTTTACGCGAAGCTCGAGGCGGTTATTGCAGATTGTCAGTGTAACATCTCCGGTCGTTCTGCACAAGTGTCAATGTACCAGGCCGTCCAGTAGTCAGGAGGCTCCAATTTCAAATGAGACCCATGCAGTCTCCGTTACTTACACAAATAGTCGTATATTTGTATGGCCTCTGATACGACATTGGGGGGCTACTTATCGACAATCCTGCCTCGTGTGGTAAATGGAGAGACAGAGGATGTAAAAGGAGAAGGGGGAGCAAAGAGGTAGGGTCCGGGGATACGGGGAAATGGAGGGTGGGAGTACGCCCTTCGTTGGACTAGCTACCGATTAGTTCCACCATGAGGTATCCGAGAAATGCTTGTTTGGAGCTGGTCTTTTCCCCCAGCCGCCTCGCTCGCTCTCCCCGCCTCGTCAGGTTCCCACAGAGTGACAACCTATGCCTGAGCGGTAACGGTTTCTTTCTCTTCTTCGTCTCATGCTTCCTTTCCTTCATCAAGGGCGACACAGGGCTGCGCTTTAGCGAGGTGAATTCCGAGGTGCCTCAAAAGTTACCTCGAGTTCGTCTCATGCCTCCGTTCCTTCATCAAGGGTGACACAGGGCTGAGTTCCAATGACCTTACCCCCCCTCCTCCCCCCTCCCTCCTACCCCCTTCCCAGGCCCCCTCCCGCTTTTCCTTATTTCACCGAGGTGGCAGATCGCTGAGCTCCAAGACCCGCCGCGTGCGCATCCATGCGGTAGTTGACCCACAAACGCAGCACACAGGCCGGGCTCAGACTTTTTCTCTTTTCTCTTCTCTTCTATTTTTTCCATCCTCTCCTCCTTTCTTCTCCAGGGTGGCAGATGGCTTAGCTCCAACACCCGCCACGTGCGCATCTACGTGGGGTACATCGACCCAGTGACCATGGAGATGGACCAGACGCAGGCGGACAAGCTGTCGCTGATGCTGGATACGGACAATGAGTTCCTGTGGACGCCCGAGACGGAGAAGAAGGTGTATGACAAGTTCACAGAGCTCGTGGAAGGCTATGCGGTGAGTGGGTGCTATGCGGTGAGTGGGTGCTATGCGGTGAGTGGGTGCTGTGCAGTGAGTGGGTGCTATGCGGTGAGTCGGTGCTATGCGGTGAGTGGGTGCTATGCGGTGAGCGGGTGCTATGCGGTGAGCGGGCGCTATGCGGTGAGTGGTGCTATGCGGTGAGTGGTGCTATGTGGTGAGTGGTGCTGTGCGGTGAGTGGGTGTGGGAAGAGGTGATGGGTTAGGCAGACAAGCTGTCGCTGATGCTGGATACGGACAATGAGTTCCTGTGGACGCCCGAGACGGAGAAGAAGGTGTATGACAAGTTCACAGAGCTCGTGGAAGGCTATGCGGTGAGTGGGTGCTATGCGGTGAGTGGGTGCTGTGCAGTGAGTGGATGCTATGCGGTGAGTCGGTGCTATGCGGTGAGTGGGTGCTATGCGGTGAGCGGGCGCTATGCGGTGAGTGGTGCTATGCGGTGAGTGGTGCTATGTGGTGAGTGGTGCTGTGCGGTGAGTGGGTGTGGGAAGAGGTGATGGGTTAGGCAGACAAGCTGTCGCTGATGCTGGATATGGACAATGAGTTCCTGTGGACGCCCGAGACGGAGAAGGTGTATGACAAGTTCACAGAGCTCGTGGAAGGCTATGCGGTGAGTGGGTGTGTGAAGGGGTGATGGTGCAGATGTTGAGAGCTGTCTTTGCTGCTGGACATGGAGAGTGGGTTTCTGGAGATGAGAAAAATTAAAGAATGTGTATGACTGGTTCACAGAGCTCGTGGAAGGTGAGTCAGTCGGTCTGAGAGTGGGAATGTGGCCACTTTTGAGAATTCTTAAAAGTGAAGAAGGTGTATGACCGGTTCACAGAGCTCGTTGAAGGTGAGTCGGTCTGAGAGTGGGAATTTGGCACAGATAAGATCATGTGACAAATGTCGACATGTGTTTGGAAGAGTGTAACAGTGTATGTAGTGCTTGATGCGCTTGTGCAGATACTTACCAAAACAAAGGTGGAGGGAGTCAATAACAAAGTGGTTGTAAGTCCGCTTGTGGCAAATACTTACCAAAAGCAATCCGTTTATGCCTCCCATATTCACTTTCCGGTATTCCTGATTTCGACTTGCAGGGTGCTGAGATGTCAGAGTACACGCTTCGTCTCATTGGCTCTGATTTGGAGCACTTCATCCGCAGTCTGCTGTTGGCTGGAGAGATCTCGTACAACTTGGACTGCCGGGTGCTCAATTTCAGCATGGGCAAGCCACGCATGCCAGATCCTGCTGCTAAGTGAGCCTATGGCCATGAACTCACATCAGAACACCATTTTCAATGATAACTTGAATCCACACTCAAATGAAAATGCCCATTTAGTGTGTCTTTGCTTTCATTCTGAAGTGTGGTCAGATAGTTTTATGTATTCTTGTGGGGCTGTCAGACTACTTTTCTGGCAATAGCATTACCATGTGCGTGTGCATAACTAAGTACATATCATTAATGGATTTGTCTAAAGTATAGTATATGCAGGTGCGAAACATTATCAAGAGACTTTGCAGTCGAAACATTTCAACAATCCTTAGCAAACTTGATAACGACAAACTGACCACTATGCCAAACAGCTGGCTTCACGCGTCCCGTCCCCGACATGCGTTTTCTTACGAGAAGATGGGGTGTGGTGCGTGGCGAATAGGGTTGTCCTCGTCAGCCTTGGCGTGAGCGCCAACCGCCTTTTGAACGCGGGGCACCAGAAAGCCTTCTAGCATTGCTTTCACATTGGCCAACGTAGGCACATGCCTCGTGTAGAATTGCCAGCATGGAAGCATGATCACAGATGATTCGTTTATCTGGATTGCGCCACGGCAACAACCTCCCCAAGTTCCCCTTGCACCGTCCCCCTTGCGACACTGGGTCTCGTCTCCCCCCATCCCACCCCTCCCTTCCCCCCTCAACTCAAATCTGCCAGCAAATGCGCACGCAATTCTGGGAAGATTTCTGCGCGATTACCGCGTCAGTCAACTTGACGTTATTGACGGAGAAATGTGCCCTCAGAAGTCCGTCAAATTGGCCACACATCCCTCAGCCACCATGCCGCCAACTTCCTCACCACCCTGTTTCGCACATGCTGGTCTGTCTCTCCTCCACTCCCGACATCCCTTGACCCCCTTCAACCAATCAGAGCCATCTTCACTCCAATCTTCTCCAACCTCGCCTGCCCTTCCGTTTCGTTCCGCTCCCTCAGCCCCTTCCCCGTCCCCCCAGCTCTCGGGATTTTCTTTCTCCGTTCCATTCCAGACACAGTACCCCCCCACCCAAACCAACCACCACAGTCCGTCAGCTGCGCCAATCCGCAAAATCCCCTTCCGCCTTTGCGTTGCGCTTGCACGCTCTAGAAGCATCCCCCTTCCGCCTACAGTTTCTTTGGACTAGTGAGGCGCCATGGAGGCTACTGTATTTGGGTTCGCCACATCCATTTTGTGCTTCTGTTAGCACTACACAGTCTAGCGCTCCTCATCGTTTTGCCACCAGTCCAATTCTTCTACATCGACTGGCTGCAACTTCAACGCTCCACATCTTGCGTGACTGCCGTATATCGGTTCTGGTGACTGGTAGTCTCCGTCATATTTTCTTGAATTGGAACTTACCATGTTCTCACAACCGTCCACGCTTCCCAGTCACGTCGCTTTGGGCATTGCCGCTGCTAAGGAGCGTCCGTCTTCCGTCCGAATTGACCACCATCACGGAGCGGATTTGCTGGGATCAAGCCATCTCAGCTCCGTCGCTCACGCCGGTGATGATTTGACGGAGGACGACGTCTGGTCAGTCAACGACACTGACAGCCTGTCAACTGACGGAATTGTCAAGGTTCCGTCTCACGACCAGATTCTACCGTCCATTCGCCTGACAAACCGAGCTCGGCTGGACCCACTCACTGCTTCATCTGGCCGGTTTTCCAGTCAAGCGCATGGGTTAGCTGTCCTTTCGTCAGATACCCTAACCGCAGGACAGGTACCCATTGGCGGTGATATTGTTAAACCAAGCGCGTTGGCTCCGGTGGTCATTCCGTCGATTCAAACCCATCTGGACCACTTCAATTCGAGACATTCTCAAGGTCATCACCGTGCATCCGCTCCGGTCAACGTTCCGGACTGGAGTAAAATAACAGGAACTGCCAACCGGCGGCCTCGCCGGCCGTTTGACGAGTATGACGATGACGCGGATAACATCATGGTTCCCCCGCACGAGATGATCGCGAAGGACACGTCATCATCCATGTGCTTCTCGGTCCACGAGGGTCTTGGCGGAACGCTGAGAGGAAGGGACCTGGATAGGCTCCGGACAGCCATTCTTCAAAAGACGGGTTTTTATGAATAAGGCGGGAGGGCCCGGCGGAAGGGTCTCCATACTCCATTCAAGCAAACTGACTCGGCAGTACGGAGGCTTTGGCCGTGCGCCGCTGGCACTTCACAAATGAAAGCTTCACTCTTCGTTGTATTTAAAGCTGGGGGAGCTGGCTCTCCTGGAACAGATACCGTACCTGTTGTTGAAAGCTTATGGACGCCTGTGCCTAAGAGCGTCTTATACTGGATTGTGCTGTGAGCATTTGAGCTCTGCATTGTGATGTTTCCAATTTTGCTATCCTGAAGTTGCAATGCATAGGACTGAAACGTTTCTAACCTTTTCCAAGTAACAGGTGTGCAAGATATGTTTCAGTTCCCCCAACCTACTATCAGTTGAAGCAGTAATTTCTGGCTCAGTGGACAACTGCTTGTGGAGCTGCAAGTGAATGCTCCTCATTTTTATACATCATTCAGTCATTACTTTCGAGAAATCCCCAAGGGAATCGAAATAGATGAACCAAACCATCCATGCCTTTCCCATGGCCACCACTAATCATAAAATGCATTTATCAATACAACTACCGTATCACCCCGGATATAAGCGCCATGGCGCTTATAATAAAATCGATTTTTTTAAGGGTGGCGCTTGTAATTGAATAATGGCCATAAGCGCCGGCGCTTATATAATGGTAAAAATAAATTTGCATAATTTAGGCATCAAATCGAAGCCCGTATTAAGGCGAACAAGACTGTGTAACGTGCGCATGGCATCATGCATGGAAACACGCCGAAAACAGACGCGCTTCGGTTTCCAACCGCACAAAGCCCGTCCAGGAGCAGCTCACCTGCCAGCGCTGATGCGAAACTTGCCTAGCGGCCCAATCAGGCTTTCGTGTGCTGGGTGGCAGCAGAATCCTCACCCGAACCATCTAGAAGCGGCCATCATGCCCTGCCAGCGCAGCATCGTGCGTGGCGCTGAACCCTCCTCTCCGGGTTCAGACAGGGGACACCCGTCTCTCCTCGACGAGGACCCCGTGGCGCTAGCCAGAAGGGGTCCCTTTGAATCCTTCATTTGTTCATTGCTTCTTTCAGTATTTCGTTCTTGGTTCTTGATGTCTCCCGCCATGCTGCGGAAGCTATGGCGGAATTCACCGGGGTTCACTTCTTGTTCAAGAAGAAGCCTCCACGGAGGCCCGCGTTTAGAGTAGACGAAGATGGGGGGTACTCCCGCGTCCCACCATCTCCACCTAAGCCACCACAGCCTCCTGCGCCTCCTGCGCCTCCTGCTCCTCCTTCGCCTCCTGCACCTCATGAGCCTCCTGTTCCTCCGACTCCTCCGTGCTCGCATAGTGCTGCGCCTCCGCTACACGCTGGATCAACGCCCGTGCTGACGCTGCTGCTCCCATCGTCGTTTGACGAGTACCTCTCCGAACCCGAGTCTAAGAAGCCGCAAGATGAGTGGGTGGAAGTGGAGCACGTTCCTGGTTCACGGTGGGGACAGCCTGACGACTGCCCGTGGGACGAATCGCAAGTCGGCGCCGACGATGATGTTGAAGCCGAAGCTGACGCTGACGAAGAGGAAGCGAGCGGCACTGTCGGCGGCGAGTATGGCACGGAAGCGAGCGGCGGGGGCGGCGCCGAGGGCGGCTCCGCTGAAGATGTTTTTCCCGAAGGCGTTCCCGGCGACGATGCCGATGACGGCGTGGAGTACTGGTCACGCGACGAGCTTCCCGAGACCCTGCCGATACCTTCCTATCCCCCGATGAATCGCAAGCGACCCCACCCCTCTTCCCAGAACCGTGATGCCCGCCCCCCCTCTCCCAGGCACAAGCTCACTGAGCACAAGAGGCAAGGTTACACCGCCGCGGAGAAGTTGAAGTGGGTTGCCAGGCTTGCTGTGGCAACGTCGGTGCGCGCTTTGGCTCGCGAGAGCGGAATCCACCCCAAGTGCCTCACGAACTGGAAGCGGGCGGCGGAGTTCCTCAAAGACGTGCACTCCGCTCGGAAACGCATGCACGGCCGCGGTCGGGCGTCGTGGTATCGGCCTATGGAGTTGAAAGTGTACGAGAAGCTTCTCGAGTGGCGCCGCAAGGGAACCGCCGTATCAGTCGGCCGCCTGCAGGAGTGGTCGCGGGAATACATGAAGCTGCTGTACCCGGACAAGCCCTGGAAAGGGAGCTAGAGGTGGTCGGAGCGCTTTCGGCGACGATGGAACATGAGTGTCCGCATGAAGACCCGGGTTGCCCAGAAAACCCAGTCGCGTAAGAGTTACCCCATGTACTTTGCCGTGTTAATGTTTACTTGTTTTACCGGTACTAACACCCGCCATCTGTGACCGTCCTGCCTTCCACCTCCCTTTAGATGTCGCGGAGCAGTGCAGAAGCTTCTGGAAGTTCGTGCGTGGCATGCGTCGTGAGCGCGGCATCGACACCGCGTGGATCATCAACGCGGACCAGACGCCGCTCTGGCTGGAGATGCCCGCCACCACCACCGTGGATGAATCGGGTGTTCGCTCGGTGCCTATCAGGAGCGCGAGGTATCAGAAGCAGCGTGTGACGGTGATGTTGGCGTGTACGGCGGACGGACGGAAGCTGAAGCCGTGGGTGTACTTCAAGCGCAAGACCGTGCCAAAGGGCAATTTCCCACCCGGTACGTCAATTGGTGCACTGCTCGTTAACTGCGGTTTGTTCAGACTGCGAATTCTAACTGCTTCTCTTGTTTCCTGCAGATGTGGTCGTGGCTGCATACGAGAACGGGTGGATGGACTCCGCGGGTGTCGTCCGCTGGCTTGAGGAGGGCGTCAAGCCCTTCTTGAAGCCCAGGTTCGGTAGATGCGCCAAGAGCTCGATGCTGGTGCTCGACTCTTACCGCGGTCACCTCACCCAGGAAGTGAAGGACAAGCTTCGCGAGATGAACTGCGTGCCGGCAATCATCCCGTCGGGCTGTACGTCGGAGG